ATTGTGAGGCTGATTCCTTTCTGATTCCCCTTTATTAATCTACTATTTGCTAGTGCGTAGGTTAATTATTAGATATTGCAGTCAATGACATAGAGGATATAATGACAGTCTTCCAAAAGAAGGAGGAAAGCTCTTAATTATAAAACATTTACATTGGTTTTATTGCAAATCTTAATTGTGACTTCAGGTGGCCCTATTCACTGCATTTATGCATTTTTTTACAAGTTCCAGGATTTTTATTACCTCTCAGAACCCTTCTTTTATAGTTATTTTTTTTTTAATTTTTATAATATCCCTATGACACTGGTCCCAGAAAGTCGATATATAATTATTTTCTTTCTCAAGGAAAACCGTATTATTCCTGCTTCTCCCCATAAGTATATCTTAACTTGTCGGTACATCTGTATCTCAGTATTTTCTTTAATTCTTAAAAAGAATGTGGTTGGGATTGGAAGAAAGCAGAGGTATGGTCTATGTGTATGCAGTAGAAAATGCATGGAATTGTGAGTATAGGTCATTTTTACTGATTGTTTGTAGAAAACTCTGAATTAAAGTGTAATTACTGAAATATGAATAGAGATTTTACATAAGTAATTAAAACAAAGTCTGTTTCTAGTAGTTTTTCATGGTAAAGAAAATCTGAAAATGGTTACTCAGAAGAATCAACACTATAGATCACTTTTGAGCAAGTTTTGCAACTAGAAATATCAGTTTCTAATATTATGTGAGAAAAAATGCAGAAATCTGAAAAGTTGGACTTATTTTATACCTCCTTTTCATTCTTTTGTTTTTCATATGCACTGTAGAGCAGTTTAAGCTTAACTGATGAAGAGGTGTTTAGAAGAGGTTATGACTTGGCATCTGTTTCAGCTCTTAGCAGCTTTCACTCAGATATTTGAAAGGGATGAGTATTTACTTTTTCAGTTTTGCCCTCTCTTCTAGGGTCTTTTAGTTGCTGCTTTCACAAGTTATGGGCTTGCTGTTAAAATATTTTTCCTTCACACTTGCCAAGTTAGATGCTTGCCTGGGGCATTTGGCACGCAAACAGATAGTTAGGTATTGGTAATGGCAGTAGGTGCAGACCTGACTTTGCAGGCTGAAGCAGCTGTGACAGAGGGGCTGCAATTTGACAAGATTTTCTTTAAAGAACACACTTTTCAAAACAGATCAAGATTGATAATTGAAGGGCCTTCTCTTTGGCGGGCTGGTTCAGGGGAGATGCACAACACAGAATAGCAAAGTAACTTTACAGTACACTTACCCCATCCTCCCATATTTGTGGTGGTGCATGCTCAGTTGCTGCTTGGCTGTTATTTTCTTTTCCCCTGCTATCTTTTTTCCTCCTCCTGCTTCCTTTTTTCACCTTTGTTTCTGCTCTTAATCATATCTTACAGTCCTCTTTCCCAGCTTCACCTCATGTTTCTGCCTTTCAACTCTCAAGTTTGCATGTGTCTTCTTGGACTGGATCTACGGTAGATTTCAGTATGAAATGTTCAGTTACAGCACACATTGCTTTCATGCAAAACATCTCAATTGCAAATTTAAGTTAACCTAGCTGAAGAATAAACATGAGACTATATTAAAATTAGGAAGTTAGGAAAATACGAAGACTTGTATTTTTCTTGTTTTCTTCCTAATATTTTTTCACATATATATATGTAAAACTCTGACAATCCAGAGTAGGATTTGTTAGGTTTAATTTTTAATTCCATTTTTAATTCACTTTTTTCATGGCATTGTTTTGTGTTAAGATTGTTACACTGCTGGCCGCCATATGAAAGCAGAAAGAAATTTAAATGAAGGCAGCTCAGATACAGTTGTGGTTAACTGGATGGTTCGGTCTATGATATTGCTACTTCCAGGCAGTACAAACTTTGCTCACCTGCTATGGATAAAACAGGTCCAAAATGGCAGTATGGCAGTATTTTAGAGGATTTCTACTTACTTGGAATTTAAGGGCATATACATTAAGATACATGAGCCATTCAGAAGGATGGAGGAGGGAGTTTGGTAGCTTACATTTCTTTTCAGTCTCACCGTAAACTTTTTTTCTGCTTGATTACTGGAAATTACCGAGATGCTATTGTAAACAGATTTAATGCGAATTGTGGTCTGTTTGGAGAGTGGTGAGCTGTTTCTGACAAATGATGAAAGGGTTGTTTGGGGGGTTGTGATTTTGGTTGCTTTGGTTGCTTTGCTTTGGTTTTGGTTTTGCATTTGTTTTTTGTAACTCTGGCATTTTAAATAGATACAAGTCACTTTATATTGATGTGGTTATTTTGTTTCTGTTTCAGCTTATTTGATATGCTAAAACGATTGAATCTCTTCTTAAGACTTGCTAGATATGTGAACTAAAGCACCAGGTATATGTTTGGGGTTCTCATTAAATTATTTCAATTATTTCATTAGTGTGACTGCACTGATGAAAAGGTGTTAAGATTTCATCATCTTACTCTTCTGCAGAGTTAATGTTGTTGGATTCCTGTGTTTGGAGATAACTAAAAAGTCATGGTAGACCAGAATGCTTTGACTTTGCTTCTCTGCTTTACCAGTTTCTATCCAAATGTCTGCTGAAATCTAAATTAGGAGTCAAAAGACTTGTTCCTGAATTTCCTTTTCATTCCTGGAGTTGAGATACCTACAGGTATCTGAAAACTGTGTGCCAACACTACAGAATATAGAAATGGATACTTCGCCTCCTTTTGAATGTAGGTGGATGCCTTTATGGCAGGCATAATTAGCAGTCTGTTTTGTGTGGGGATTACACCGTGCTCCCCTAGGTAGGAAACACAGTGTTCGGCATTTTTGGGTTTTCAAGTTTCCTTAAAATTTTCCTGTACCCCTATATTTCATTTGAGGGAACTGCATGGTTGGTGAACAAAGGGGGAATCTAGTCGGGGAGGCTGGGGAGTCAGGACTGCGTGGAGTGCTGTGTGTAAGGTACAGCATCTGCTTGGAGTAGCTGGAGTGTGTGCCCTGGAACTAGGACTGGGGGATGTACCACAGAGCACTGCTCAAAAGGCTGCCCTGCTGATCTGCAGCTTCTAGTGTGGGTTGCTGAAAGAATATAACTGCTTATGGATGGATAGCTCTTGATGATTGCTATCAGGGTCATTTAGTAGAAAACCTTGAATAGGGTGGCTGAATAAGAGAAGGTCTTTCTTCCTGAGAATTGCATGAATGAAACCTTGTCAGCTGATTTAATACATGCCTGTTTAACTAACTCAAGATTTTGGTGTTCCAGACACTTGGAAGCTCTAAGAACTTTATTGACTGGCACAGTCAAGTAAGGCTTCAAAACTGTTAGCTGTCACACAGAGTATTTTCCTAAGAATTTGTATTTCCTTGCAGAGGAAGAATTTAAAGGAAATTACTTCAGACTAATGTATTTTATAGTGGAAAGAAATTAATATCTTGGTGTTAGCTTTTTTCTTTTTCCAGTTCCTTATAAATCTCCCTCTCCATTTTTCAGTCTTCTTTCCCCTGGCAGAGAGAGCCATGGTTCAAAATACACATTGTTGACTGGGAAGATCATCAAGTTGGAATGAAATTCCTCTTGACTTAATGCTAGTCAGTTTATCATTGATTATTTTAATGTGCTTTTTATGGTTCAAGTGGATAAATCAGCTCATCATACTAAGAAAACTGAAGCTAGAAAGTATTTTAAATAGAAACCACTCAACAGAAGAATTCCATGGTTAATAATTCTGAAATATGTTTATGTATAGCAAAGATAAGAGATCTCTTCTATCACCTGTGAACATAAGTAGCTAGATATTTCTTACTTAAATTGTGTATCGTAGTTTATTAGCAGAATTTCATCAGTGGCAGCATCAGAACTTAAGGCAAGAAGAAATCAGACTGTAATAATGCATAATGAAGAGAACAATCACATCACACACTCCAAATTCAGTGACTGATAATTCATACACAGCTTTTGCTTGCATTTAGTTATCATATGATACCTCTTTTGCCTCTCAGAGCCTTGCCTGTGCGAGAATCGTCTTTTGGACCTCCTTAAAGGCTTAGTTTTACCCAAATGAAAGGTCATAGAGCAGACAATCTCTTCCACAAAACAAACCAACAACAACAACGAGGAAACCACAACTAATTTTTGCAGCAAGGAACTAGAATATCATTCAAGGTTTTTTCCTAGAAAGTATATTTAAAAACACAGAAATATATAGGATCTCCTCTGTATTTTTTTTATCACCTACAGGAAAATGTTGGTGTTCCCTTCAGTCTGAACAGCCAAGGGACAGCAGTTGATCCAGAAGATAAATCTTGTTTGATGGTCCTCTAAGGCTTTTTGTTATAACATTTAGTTTAAAAGATCCTTTTTATGCTAAAGGGATGGTTACATCTCTCTACTCATATGTAGAATTATATTATTCATGTGTAGAATAATAGAATGCTAAAATTTGTGCTAATGAGTGAGAAAGCAGTAATGAAATTACTGGATACAATTGGATTTTTCTGATTGCTTTTGATAAATTTTTAAGCATACAGGTTCCAGTGTAGCTTTCCCCTTTTCTTGTTGTGAAGTCATTGTCTTAATAACCACATAGGCCAGGCTGTCTCAAGATAAGTAATGTATTGTCCTGGTGACTGTTCTGTCAAAAGATTATACTACTACAGAGGAGAGCACAGATTACAACCAGATTAAAATGTTAAGCGTCATTGTTGAAGTATACCCTATAACAGCAAATTGTTAAGCATTTACCTGTAAAACAATATGCTACTAGTCATCAGGGTTTTTTACTCTTTACAAAGCTAAAAGTACTTTGATACTTGTTACTGCAGTACAGTCACGTGGTTATCACCTGTTCTTCAAGTCCTGGGATATTCGTCTGAAATTTCCTTCTTCTGTTCATTTTATCAGTTCCTTTCTAATAAGTATCAATTTTGAGACCTCTCCTTCTGAATGTTCAGTTTGTGTCCCTTTTCCACCTGTGTTCTCTGGATTTGCTTTTGCAAAATGAAGGAGTTTTGTCTTTCAGAGCGGGAAGGTCACAGGAAGTGAATCAGGAGGTGTCATTGATCTTACACTGGATGAAGAGGATGATAACTCTTCTCCAGGTAGGTGGAAGATATTTTGCTAACTGCAGGGGTAATTGAGCTACAAGTATTATTTCATCACGTGAATGACAGAAAGTAATTAACTTATGTTTCTGATTATAGTGTATTTTTTCCTTGGTGTTTCAGTTAAATACAACTGTTGTTAAAAAAATTGATAGGTGTTAAATAAAAGGAATTTTACTCATAGTCTGTAAGATTTTTACCTTTCCCTTAATTTAAGTATTGTTGCTATCTATTCTTAAATCTGTTAGGCTTGGAGAGTAATTTGAGGCATTTGAGTTCTTGATAATATTTTAGCAAGTTCTTCTAGATGTATTTCTTTTTTCTCTTTATTGATTAGTTAAAAGTTAAAGACCATTTAATTCTACAGTTGGTATTCAGGCATTAGATTACTACAGCTTCCAATCTTTTGTTTAACTACAACGCTTTGTTGCAAGGGTTTAAAGACCAAATGCAAATCTGTTGTTTGCTTTAGAACTGTATGCCAAGATCAGAGTAAATATAGTTGTGCTCTTATATCCTTTGGCAGTTTGGATGTACTTCATCTTCTAAAAGAATACCTTTCTTTTTTTTATAAGTCTTGCGTAAATTTAGGCAGATATAATTATAGCTAGCGTTGGATTAGTGAAGAATTATAGTACTTCAGAGAAGAAATAAGAGTCTGTGCTTAGACCATGTATTGTGCTGCCATCTTCACTGAAAAAAACCTATATTTCTGCTGTTGGAGATAATATTTTCTTTCTACATGGTCCCTAAATGCATGTCCCTGCACTGCATTCTGAAGTCCAACCACCAAGAGGTTTGATTCCTCTGGACAACCTCAGTAGCTCTTTCTCCAGCTAGTGCATTCAGGTTCTACACAAACATTCTTAATAGCTTAAATTGCTTTATTTGTATTACACAAATGTAGAAGATCATATTGGCATGTGGTAGCATTTCTTTCAGTGAGGAAGAAATCATAGCCACAGAATGGTGTGGGTTGGAAAGGACCTTAATAAAGATCATCTCATTCCAACCCCCCTGCCATGGGCATGAACACCTTCCACTAGACCAGGTTGTTCAGAGCCCCATCCAGCCTGACCTTGAACACTTCCATGTGATGTTATCACCAAAAGTGGAGTGCATGTGGTATACAAGTATTAGGGAAGCATCAGATAGCTGACCATTTGGTTCTTTATCAGTAGAGAATATGTGGTGCACACTGAATCGAGTATGAGCCAACAGTGTGTTCTCGTTTCAGTTTGAGTAATTACTCCTCCCATATTGACACTGGTGGGACCACAGCTGAAATACAGTGTCCAGTTTTGGCTCCCCCTTCCTTGAGCTCAGAAGAGTTGTGGTAGCACTGGAGAGGGACTCACAGATGGTGTCACGGTGGTGGAGGCCTGAAGTGTATGAGCTGTGAGAAGAGATCAACAGACATGGTGTGTTTGGCAAAGAGCAAAGCAAAAGACAACATAATAGTAGCCTACAACCACGTGGAGGATCATTACAAAGATGATGGAGCACAACTTCTCAGCAGAGCCATGAACTACGAGTTCAGGAGGTTCAAGCTGAGCTTGAGGGGAAAAGAAATCACCGTAGTGCAGCACAGAGCGATGGTAGAAGCTCCACTCTCAAAATGTTCTTAGGTTTCAGCAGGGCAAAACCACAAGCCATTTGAATTAGTGTTGGTGACAGTCCAACTTCAAGAAGAAATTGGACTACATGGCCACCAGAGGTCATTTTCAACCAGGATTTTGAATTGCTGAGTGGCAGAATAGCTCAGGCAATCAAGTTTTTACCACTGTCATCTCTTCTGAGTGTTAGTTCTCAAAAAGATAAAAAAGATGGTTGCCCTGGGATTGTGCAAGCCTGTCGGATAAGGTTAAGCTTCCCAGTCCTGCTTTAACATTCTATAAAAGACACTGAGCAGATAGATCTAAATGGATTTATGGTATGGTTTAAAGTTGTGTGTCACAGTATTGTAATGTATTTCAGCTAATCTTTTTCTATCAAAAGTAACATTTTCCAGAGAGTTTTTCTCTCCCTGATTGCATTAAGTAGATGTTCACAATTGCCATAAAAAATCAACACTGTGGTTGCATGTAAGATGCTTCTCTGGGTGGGAGTGCTACGGAGTTGTAGCTCAATTACAGTGTAGTAACTTAACTCCTCAGTTTCTTTGTTGGGGCTCAAGCCTATATCTTAAAAATTTCTCCAGTGGGATATTCTGTTCCCCTTAGTTGTCACATTTTAGAAAACTGCCCTTCCATTAGGAGGAAGGTTAGTGGGGTACTTCCAGGCTGGGTTAGCTCCTGTGTGTCTCTTCACTGCAAAGCAGAAGCTAGACTCTTACTGATAGTCTGAAACCGCGCAGATTAGTTCATGCTTAGAGTTTATGTGAGGAGTCAGTATCTTTTACATAAGCTGTAGAAACACAGGAACCAAAACCCTAGTAAAAGCTTGAGTTTCACAATGCAGTGAGAACAGATCACTAGGATTTTTGAGTAAGTTTCTTGGGAATGTGTTCTGATAATAATCAGGTTAGAGGAAGAGTACACTTCTGACAGCTTTTGCATAACCATATGTATCTGTATACCTTTGGCTAAATGTTTTTTTCCACTGCACTTTGTTTACAGCAAATGTGGAGCAAGTTTTATGTTGTTCTAGATTTATTGGTACACAGCCTCAAAACAGAAAATACCTAAAGCATTATGATGTTTTCTGCAGGAATATTAGTTCAGTATTAATTCAAGTAGAAGAGCAACACTTACATAGTGTTCTTGGGAACACTCAGATCCTGATTATTTTCTTTAAAGCATTGTCACCCACATATAAAGTAAACCCAATTAAATACCTTGTAAAAGGTATTTAAATAGATATTAATATCTACTAATATCTAATAAAACCTGATGTGTGCAAAAATTGTTAATGAAAATGTTGCGTAACCTTCAAGAAACAATGTTAATAATTTCTGTTCAGAACAATTGTCAGCCTTTCATCAGAGTAATCTGGATACTTTTCTGTCTGCAAGTATCTTATAATACTTGTATTTTGGACCTTGCTGTCCTTCTTATAAAATATTGATATAGCAGATGGCATCAAATTATTTTATAAGAATATTAAAACAATGAAGTGGCTTTGTGATCTAAGAAAGATATGTTCCACTTTATTTTGTAGGAAAAATTATTAAATACATAGTATCGGGGTTTTATTTTATAAGGTGTTTTATCTGATTAACAAATCTGTAGTTTCCTGGATGTTTTTTATTTTCTTATTCTTAAACATGGGTATGGCATGTTTGCTGTTCTGTAATCCCACTATGCCGGTTATGAATTAGTACAGTGTTTAAAATTCCTTCGTGCTATAACTGCAGCGTTGTAGGCCCAGTTTCTGATGTGGAAATTAGCCCCTTTTCCATTTTGTGTATTAGATTAGGAGTTTTGCTTACACCTTCAGTAGTAATGATTTCCATATTATGCTCATTTCCATAAATCAGATTTTTCCATCTCCTGTATGTCCATGTTTGTTATGAATATGATGCTGTGTTCATTTAATATTGGAACTGTTTCTTAATTACTTTAAACCTTAGTTCTGTGCTTACTATGCACCAAGTCTTCCTGTTTTCCTTGCTGTTTTTTTTATTTACATAGCCTTTGCCATTTGTTTCCATTTATTTAGCAAAGTCTAGATGATTATCTTTCATCGTTTCCTGTGGCTCATGCAATCCTGACCTAGTTTCCAGCGGCTGGAATGTCAGCAGGGTTCTTGATTTGTCAAGGATAAATGAACTTGCTCTGTGTGAGATTAAAAACAAAAGTAAAACTGAAAAAGCTCTCACATTTGTCCAGACTGACATTTTCCTAGGAAAAAACCCTACATTTTTACAGCAGTAGTGTGTCTGGGATTTTACTTGTTGGATTATAAGCACATCTTCTAAGTCATGACTAAGAATGCACCAATGTCACTTGAATTATTCAGCGGTAGTTGAAATGTGCATCAGTCTGTAAATATTTAAAGTAAACAGATGTGTGCATCTCTGTATGAATCTCTTCAGAATCAAGCAATTTGAACACTGGGACATTTTGCAAAAGAAGCTTGAACCAATCACAAGGCCTCTTAGTTGATGAAAGAGCAAGAAACATCTCACCTTCTGTTTTCAAATTGAGCATCCCTTTACTGCTCCTTTTATAGACTTTAAAAAAAGAAAGAAAATTTTATTTTGATCACATGGCTTCAGTGAAGTAACTTGGCTCTGGAGTCTACAGAAAGGTCTACAATTCATAGTGTTTTATTTTTGAGGTCTTGAATTTGGGGATATGGTTTAGGGGTGATTATGGCAGTGCTGGGTTGACAGTTAGACTAGATGGTCTTGAACGTCTCTTCCAACCTTGATGATTTTGTGATTCTGTAATTGCGTTTCATAGAATCCTGTAGCAGTTTCTGAAGGGTACTGCTACTTCAAGCTGTTGGTAGCTAGTGTTAAAGGCAGCTCGCTGAGACCATCAAAATTGTCTCAAACCACTAAAATCCACAAAATTTTGAGTTATGCTGCCATTAACCCTGTTCTTAATGTTTGAAATCTAGTTGGTATACTTAATTGCAAGTTTCAAAAAGGTGTTCTTCACTATATTGTTTTCTCAAGAGTAAAATGAGTATTGACGTATTTTTATATTACATGCTCTTTTACTAAATTAGTGGCTGCTGCATGTACAATTAGGGCAAATCTTTTTTGAATGAGTGCCCTTAAAACCTACTCATTTATCTTGTGCTTTTTAGCTCTTGATGGTGTCTTCTCTGCCCACTGTTAAACTCTAATCTAGTTGAACTATCCAGGCAAAAGCTTCTCAGTTCTTCTTTATTCAACTTACGCAGAGGCCTGATTAGATATGGACTTGCACCCTAATTAATATTTTATGTTGTCACAAATAAACTAAAGGAGGAAAAAATGTTGCTGTAGTAAACTACAGATACAGACACTATTTGTCACTTCTCACAAGTCAGTAAGTCACATTGAGGACGATGTCAATGTGAGAAAACAAATTTTCTTTATAAAGTTTTCTACAAATAATAAAGTGATTCCCCTTTTCAAGCAAATAGCATGAAAATTCAAAACAGCAACAAACAGGACTGACTAACAGATTGAACGAACAAAAGAGTCAGCAAATAACAAAAAGATATAAGCATCAAAGGTAGACAAGGCCTTTTAAAGGGTTTAGGATATCTTTTTTTTTAACAGAAACTTTTAAAGACTTTGGCATAGTGTTCCATTACATTCAGGTTTCCAAATTGCACTGAAATATGCAGACTTCATGATGATAGGATAGAACATAATGGAGTGAGGTGGGGGGAGATTACGATGATGAAAGTGAGGGGAGTTGAATGAATTTTCTGCAGATTTGTTTGCAGAATGAAAAGGTCAAAGAAATGTCATGCTCAGAAATATACTCACTAATCTGTAAATGGGGACAGGGGAAAGAGATTTTAAAACTCTGTGACGTTTAAAATTCTGATTCAGAAATTAAAATTTCTATTTGCTATTGTCTATAACTTTATTTTATTTTAAAGCAGATGGCAAGAAGCAGAAGCAGAACCAGACACCAGTTACAGGACTGAGCGTACCCACGCAGCCCTTGGCTCGACCCTTGCAGCCCAATTTGCCGCCTTTGCAACCAAACCCTGTGCAGCAGACAGGTGTGCCGACCAGTGGGCCTTCCCAGACCGCTATACATGTATTACCTACAGGTAACTTCATCTTACTTCATCACAGGGTGAATACAGGGGCTGATTTTTTCTTAGACTTGACTCTTGTGTGTTCTACATTGTGCTGATCTTTTCAAGTGAATATTCAGAATGTCTCGGTCACTTCTTAATCTTTCATTCTGGTCAGTTTCCCATAACTTTTTTTTTTCCCCAAAAAAAATTTTGAAGTAAAAGGGAAAAATAGTATTGTTGGTTTGGAAAGAATTCAGGATCAAATTAATTCCATGGGGAGGAAGAAATCCTACTAAGGGTGGTCACGGAAGTTATTAAATATCCTGTTACTTGTAAAAGTGAAGTAGAAAAAACCTGTAATAGCTGCCTTATACAAGTAATGGGGAAAAAATTTTATCAACATCACTCCTACATCTGTCCCTGTGCACTTGGCAGTTAATCCTTTTGGCAGAGTGAGTGGCAAGGCTGGCATTGAAGTTCAATCCCTAGATGAATATTATTTTGTCTGTAGTGTCATTAAGTTTTTCCCCTTTCTTTCTAACATAAAGAAACATAGATCCTCTTTTTTTTCCCCTTATTTTACTCTATTTTGCTGTATATGATTGTTGAAGATTAGTTGGTGCTGAAATTGTCTTATGACTGATCTGTTCTGCAGGCTCTTTGGTGGTGGGTTTTAGATTCTCCACCACTGTCCTTACATTCAGGACCTTTGGGAGCAGGGGAGGTATAATATTTATCTTTTCTGTTAGAAATTTGTATATATATTGACATTAACATTTCAGGTGAAAATACTGTATGTTTAGACTGTTTTCACTTTTCTTGCATTATCAAAATCAGATAGAATTTCACAGAGCCAGTTTTTATTTTACATGGCTCAGATGAGTCAGTTTTCCAAAGGAGATGTGTACTCTGGAATAGGCCTATAGCTTCATGTCATGGAATTCGATTCCAGGGTCTGTCTGTCTTTTTTCAGCTCCGACAACAGTGAATGTAACTCATCGGCCAGTGACTCAAACTGCTCCAAAGCTTCCTATACCAAGAACCCCTGCTAACCATCAGGTGGTCTATACCACTATTCCTGCACCACCAGCTCAGAATCCCGTAAGAGGAGCTGTCATGACAAATCCAGGTTTAAGGCCAGTCAACCCGCAGGCTGGAGGTAGGGGATGATTCCTTCCATGCACTTCTTACCGTGACACTACCACATGGATGTGGGATTTAGTTTTTTGGTTTGGGTTTGCTGTTTGGTCTCTTTACAATACTAGTCCAAGTTACAGAGGTTAAGGAGTTTTTTCCAGCTTACAGACCTGAGAAAAATCTTAGGCTACTAAGAAATTCCACCTGCAGCTATGTAAATAAAGAAAAACTGTATTTAAGTCATCTCAGGCACTAGCTCTGCCAATTAAAGCATCTCTGGATGACATACAGAGTACTTTACAAGGTAGCAGAAGGTAATGTGACTGGCACCATGTTCCATGGAAAGATGGAGACCATTCTTTTATTATGGTATAAGATTAAAACATATTTATATGTAGTAAATCATGTTCAATTTCCTGTATAAAAGTCACATTTCTCTCAGACATCTTAATATAATTCCTTACAAATCTCTATGTCCTGTGCCCGGCTGTCTCAGTTTAATGAGACTGAAGTGTTTGCTACAAAGGATGAGTTATGAGGAAGACCAAACTCCTCCCTCTAAGCAATTATAAATCCAAAATTAAGAGGCTCCAGTTGAGGAAATATGGAGAAAGAAAGATAACAACCCTTTATTAAAGGATATATGTGTATAGGCAGCACAACAAAAGAAAAAAAAACCCAAACAATCCTGCACCCAGAGTTCCCACCAAAAACAGTTCAGTACTTTTTGCCTTTTGGCTCAATTCTAACCACGGTCAGCAGGGGACGATGTTGGATCACTGGAGGGGCAGAGCCTGCGGTGCTCTGTGTTGGTCGGCAGGGGGCGGGTTATGTGAAGGGTTAATATTTGGATACTGGGTAGAGAGTTTTCACATATTATTAACAAAAAAAGCAATAATGTTTCTTGATTCCTTTTAGGTATCCTGAGTTTCCAGTGTTTGGTTCATTCTACCTTCTTCACTGTCTTTGTTATGCAGCTTTCAGAAATGGTGCTACTGATGTATATTGCTTTATATTATCATTGCAACAGTCTTTAGTGTGAGTAGATGCTTCCAGAGTAAGATCTCTACACCTTGTCTTTGAAAGACTGACTGTGAGAACCCATCCAAAGTGTTTTGCAAATTGCAGTTTTGTCCTTCTGCCTCAACTGAGTACTATGCCTATTAATAATGCTACATTTGTACTTTATATCTTATTAAGGCATTTCTGACCATCTTCAGATTATTGTAATTTCCTGAGACAGAACCACAGTCATACTAAACCAGTATACCTGATAGGATTCTCATAGATGAGAAACAGCCAGCTCAGGTGACTGTCTATCCTACAGGAGTTTGCACAGCTTCATCAGCTTCTTAGATAGATGTGCCAATACGAAAAAGATGTGAAGCATCTACCTAATGTTAAATGCTATTATTATAAAGTGCTAAGATTTAGTACTCTGAACTCCCTGCCTCAGAGTTGCAGATCATAGACTTCTGACACTCATCCCCTGTGATTGTAGCTTGGTGAGTATTTATATAGAGAAGAAATTGCCATTCAATAGCTGTGGTTTCCTGATATGTTTTGCTCTCTGAGCTTATCTTCTGGAATATTAGAACGCTTCCATCTCACAGAGATGTGGAACTCCTAGGGGGTGGTAGAGATTGCCCTGAAACTTGTATTTCTAGATGGAAATGGAGGGACACTCTAGGCAACCTGTAACAATGAGCAAAAGCTTTGAGTTCACAGAACATGTGTGTTCCAATAGTGAATAGATAAAGTGTTACTTAAGAGAATTAAATGTAGTATAAAATGAATGAAAACTTGGTAGCTTGCAAGAGTTTTGGATATTATGTACAAGGCTATAAAACTGCCTAGTTTATTTCTGCCAGTCAGGTCAATTTGCATTGGGAATGAATGAAATGGTGATGCCTGTGAGTAATATCCATCATGGTGTCTGTTCTTTGAGGGAGGACAAGCAGCTTGGACTGTGACTTACCTTTTTTGTTTTCAGTACCACCCATAGCACAGCTTTCTGAGTGGATATCATTCTGCTGCAGCAGCATTTATCTTTGCTTTTCTGAATCTCAAAGTGATGTTTTTCTTTCCATACTTAAGCTCCCTGTATCTCCCCCCCTTCCCCTCCCCACCCATTTCTTTCATGCTACAAATTATTAAAGCGACATCTGCCCCCTCTGCAAACATAAATACTTGCTCTCTTCTCACTTTTACAGCTTCAGGGGATGGGAGGTGATACTGTTGTTAGGCAGTGCTTCATCAGTCTGCTGGAAGCTTGAGGAGAGTGTGTCTGTCTGAAATTTGGTTTCATCCAGCTGAACCACGGAGTTGGTCTTCCAGTGTTCTGTTTAGCTGATTGTAATTATTGAATACTCAAAAGTATTCATTGTGCTTCTTACAGGTATGGCAGTGCGAATGCCTCAGACAACCTATGTCGTGAACAACGGGCTGACTCTCGGGTCTGGAGCACCTCAGCTGACAGTGCATCATCGACCGCCGCAAGCGCATGCTGTGAGTGGTGCTTTTGAAATTACTGGATGCAATTTACAGGCCTGTCTCTGCATTAGTACCTCTCAGATTGCTTCTTAGCGTGAACTGCAGAATAGTGATGTGCCTTCTAGACGCTTTTTTTTAGCCAGTTCACGTGCACAACACCACCCAATCACCTACAGCAACTTCTGCCCAGAATAGTAAAAGCTGTGCAACCTGTTAGTTTACCCTGGCCTTCTCCAAATCACCAGCAGTGCATATTGAAAAATAGTACATGAATTGTCTGCACGGACTTGTGGAGTCAAGGGTACAAAAGAACTGCTACTAAAAAACATTTAGTCATGGTTTGGCTATGAATTGGCTCACGAGCTTTTCAGTACAGCTGTTTGCAAAACTGAGGAAACAGAACAACATGCAAACGAGATCCCCAAGGTTGCCAATTCCCATATTTCAGAGGGTTTTTTTTAATCACTGTTGAGCGTGATTACTTCTACATTGACTCAAACCCCTTTTTGTAAGTATTTGAGAATTTTCTCTGACTCATTTCATTTCAAATCTGTTGCCTGCACACTCATTGTTGGGCAGTTGCATTACTTATGGTGTCCTGAAATGGTAAATATATTATCAAGAATGTGGCTTACCATTCTTTCAGTCTAAACACCATTCAACTTCATGCATTCTCCAGTGACAAATAATGAGACTAAATCCAGCCAATATCACAGAGAACACTTAAGATGCCAAAATCTACCTCAGATTCCAACCTGAAAGATCCTACGCTTGAAAAAATAACAAAATTTCATACTTATTGTAACCATGTTCCTAAATGCATCTTAACTAACATAAACAAGAGACCTAGGGCTGGTTTTGCAGTATAAAAAAGAAATATCATTGGAAAGAAATATTTTTTGCCCTTATTTCAAAATTTTCTGGAAACTGAGGCTGAGCTTTTGTGGTGAATTTAAGGGATAAAATCCATGTAGCACCATTAGCCTTTCTTCTGTTTGTGACTGAAAACCTGTCTGTTGAAAAGATGATGAGATGTCAGCTTAATGCACTGCCTGGGGTGTTTTGGGTAATGTGGGAACAGCAGCTCAAACGTAGATCGGCTCAAAGTCATTGTGAACCTGCCTGCTCAGTTATGGTAAAGAGCACAGTGTTCACTCCATCCTCTCTTGGCTGGGAAGCAAAGAGGATATAGGGAAATAACTGCAGCAATGATCAGTTGTAGAGCTAGGGATTTATATGTAAATAACCTAAGAATTTATGGCATCCTTGGTCCCACCCCTTCTCAACATTTGCTGCTGCTCCCTTGCCTCTGCACGCAGGACTGATAGTTGTGACGGCTGGATGATTGCAGGCTCATTTGCTTCCAGTTACCTGGGGAATGATGAATTAAGGCTCATTCCAACTGCTGTAAACTCTGACCTTTCCCTTGTTGCCCTTATGCTGCTTAGGAGCCACCACGCCCTGTACATCCTGCCCCACTTCCAGAGGCACCACAGCCACCACGTCTGCCCCCTGAAGCTGCCAGCACTTCTCCGCCTCAAAAGCCACAGCTGAAGCTGGCACGGGTACAGAGCCAGAATGGAATTGTGCTGTCATGGAGTGTCATGGAGGTGGACCGGAGCTGTGCCAATGTGGACAGTTACCATCTCTACGCCTACCACGAGGACCCAAGTGCCACTATGCCCTCCCAGTGGAAGAAGATCGGGGAAGTGAAGGCCCTCCCTCTCCCTATGGCATGCACTCTTACACAGTTCGTGTCTGGCAGCAAATACTACTTTGCAGTCCGGGCTAAGGACATCTATGGACGCTTTGGACCGTTCTGTGACCCCCAGTCCACAGATGTGATCTCTTCTCAGAGCAGTTAAACGGAGATCTTTGGAGCCTTTAAACCTGCCCTGGTACCAAGAATTACCCCAGTTTTGGGGGGAGTTGATCCCATGCATGTAATTCACTTTTAAATCCACTCTCTGCAGAATTATTTTAGACAGTTGTGTGATACACTACATGCATTCAGAACCAAAAGAAAAATAAAGTGTCACCTGCAGCAAGAGATCCTGTTTTTTCTGAATAGTTCATGTCATGGGCCATTTGAAACTTTCATTTTCGCTTCCATGACAGCTGTTCCATATAGATACCTACGTACCCTTTATCCAAGGGCATCCTGAATGCCTGGGATTCTGCTTCTGAGTGGGAACAAAATAGTAAATTACAGTTTGTCTGAAGCAAAACACACACATTTGTACTGGAAGATTGAGTGGTCTGGTCTTACTTTACAAACTGGAATGAACTCTCTGAGAGGAGGGAAGGGAACTTCTAGTCTGACCAGGAACCCATATGTATGTAAATTTGGAGGTGGTGGGGGGAAAAAAAAAATCACCCCACAACCTCCTACCTCTTATAAATAAGAACGCTCCTCTACTTTCACCATCCTCCCCCACTTGCCCTGGGAGCATTCCCAGGTCATATCTGACAGTGAATTGTAGAGCTGCATTCACACCTCTCTAGTTCAGACAGTTTCTCTGCCCCTCCCCTCATACATCTAGCCCTATTTTTTAGATTTATTTTGTGCCTTAAAGAATAATTTCAAAAATAAAATGTAGCCAGATACCTTGTGGTGTTCTTTTATTTGCTTGGAGTTATTTTTCCCTTTATCCTTCTAGTCTTTCACTAGTGCTCTTCATTTTCCAGGCCTGCAGTAATTATTATTTCTGTTAAGACCAGGAAGTGTAACATCTGCTGATGCTGAACTCGTTTTTATCTGCATTCTATCTGAGTATCACTCAACCCTTTCCTCACTGTAATTCTTGAGCAGTTGTTTTTGTCCTGTCAAGAATATTACAGTATACAGACAGTATTTTCCACCCGAGCCTTTCCCTGTTCTTTTGGGAAAGCTGTATGCTGCAATTCAGCCAAAGAAGAAACCTCTGTGGTGTGGCACTATGAAAGCTTCTGCCTGTTGGCACTCAGTTTGGATGTTCAGTGAGTACGGAAAGAGAAGTTGGCTTCCCAGTTGTCTTCTCTCTCTCAGCACCTGCCTGCCTCTGCAGAAAGCCAACACAGCCAAAGGAGTTTAGAAACTATTTTAGACACTGGCCTAAACCTTGTGAGTAATTGCAAATGTTAGTAGATGCTTTCATGATGCTTCTGAGCTGAGAAAAGAAAATTGGTGCATCTGCCCCGCTGTCGTTGACATGTTAAACTTGCTGTTTGCAGAGCCAAGTTGTAACTCACCTGGACAAGAAAGTGTATGTAAGGTTTTGATTTTGGCAATTTTCAGTTGCATTCCTGCCCAACAAAACCAAACAGTGGGTTTAGAGGGGAAAGATTCTTTTTTTTTAATCCATCGTATAGCAAAGGTGCAGAATATAATATTTTTTCATTTTGATGCCCTTTTTCTTGCCACCAACATTTTGAAGTGTAAAGCAACGTTGAAAAAGTGTCAGAAAAATTAAATCCCAAAACAGGACTGGTGAAATATACTATGAGATTATGGGTTCTTTAGTTATGTTCCTTTTGAGAACTTTTAACACTGAAAGAAATGTCATTGTATACTTTCGTCTGGTTTACTGCTTTCCATGTAGCTGGGATTGTCACTTTGTCAAGTAAGCAACAGCTATTCTCGGTATGGAAACTTGCATTTAAAGTATAGCAGTTCTGTTGATTTGGGCAACCAAAAATTCTGCTAAATCCAAGTATCATCAGAGAAGGTTCACACCAGCTCTCATGTAGGAACAATTTTATCTGAACTACAGCTCTCCCTGTATTTCTGGTGCCAATAATCAAAAATGCCTTGAATTTTTCTATGTTTAATTAATTTTTTGTCTGCCTATTTCAAGGAATAATTACTTAATAATGCATTTAGTCTATTTAGTCTAAAGTGGGGTTCTTATAAAGCCAGTTCTGTAGTAGAGGGTTAGAGCAGTTCTTTCCAGTTGATGGCTGTCAAGTCCTGCTTGGGCAATTTTTTTTTTAATGTGTCTTTTGAGGTTGTACCAAAGAGCCCTTGGCCATATCAGTACAATGAAGTTTTACAGTTTTAAAATTAGACTACAGCCTGGAATTTATGCACTTATTTGTGATTCCAGCCCAAACAATAAATGAGCTTTTCTATAGTTTGTGCTTGCATTTAGATCTTGGTTTTAGGTTTGTCTTGTTTGGGAAAGGCAGGGGGTGCGGGCCCTGCGTTAGAATTTTTTCTTTCCTTCAGTGAGGTATTATTAGGGATGGTCTGGCATTCTGTTTGGAGGTTTTCCAGGTTGCATCCTTAGAGAAAGAAGACTCACCTTTATTTACTCCAGATGTAGTTCTTCACTGAACTGATTGTGAAAACTGGCTTCTGGCTTAACAGACCCCTTATGCTACCAAACACGGGTATTGCTTAGTTCCTTACCTCATGGCACTTACCCCATGTGGTGGAGTGGCTGGTTATTTTATTATCCTTTACCTCCTAGAAAGAATGAAGCTACTGAGAAACTAAATTTCTGCTAGCAACAAACAATCAGAAGTAATTTGTTTCATTTATTAGAATTTATTTGGAAGTATTACCAGAATATTCAGGAACACTCATTACAGGTCTGTTACTACTGTGTCTCTAGACTGGTCTCTTCATTAGCATCAATTGCTTGAGCCTTCCAGTAATCCACTTTTAAATATGCTAAAAAACTGTATATGGCTTTTAAGTGGAAGAGTTGGTTTTAGTTTCTTCTCTGCACTTGATGCAAGGTTTTCCATCTGACTTTCAGTAGCCTGGTATAAAGTTGTTCCTGATTGTGTGTTTTGCTGCTGCCTCTGGGTACACAACATTTCCGCAGTACTGCCCTGGATTTAGTTTCCCATGTTTTAGCAAACACAGCACTGATTCTGCAGCTGTGTTTTCCACCATTATTTACTTTCTGGTGTGTTTTAGGTTTTGGTTGTGTGTCACAACAGCCTCTCATTGTCCAGGCTGAATGTAATTTGAGTTAGTACATCTACTTGTAGAGGAGCCCTGCTGTGCAGTGCTGATGGCAAAATGCCATTCCTGTCCACTGCATTTCTCCTAGTTGCAGCTCCACTGGCCTCTTTTATTTTGCTCTATGTCTAAAAAAGCTTTGTTGCATACAAAAAACTAAAGCCGTGGAGGGGGCAGACTGCAAGTGTAGCATCTGTACTGCGCCTGCAGTGGCAGCTTCAGAAAGCACAAGGGTGCAGAGGCAGGTTCCCCTCAGCCTGTAATTATTTCTGCCTGTAATTATTTCCATGCTCTGAGCAGCTTCCCTAGGAGTAGCAGTTGGGCTTAGACTTTGCTCCTTTGAATTATTTGTACTACCTTTGGCCATGTTAGATCACTGAGCACAAGCACTGAGACACTCACCCATTCCCAAGTTTTTTAGCACTAGACTGGAAACACCCATGGTGTTTTCCCTGTAAAATTAAGGGGTCTTACCCTGCTTCCTTGGAAAACGAAGGCAAAACCCCTTGTGCCTTCACTGGGAGCATGATTGGACCAAGTAGTAGAATCCGAACACCATTTTGTACTGTAACAAAAACAGTCACTTCAGCCCACCCTTCATGCTGTTTGTCTTAAATGTCCAATAAATTAAAATCTGTATTGTATGTAGGAATGAGTCATGTTTGTTGCTGCTCCCTAAACAGCCATTCCCCAGGATGAGTATTGCATACACTGTAAAAAATCAAGCTGTGATTCTGCCTTCTTATAAACTCTTTTGAGTATTTTCCTTTAGTCAAAAATATCTATGCAGATATTTTAAATAGAAGCTTGATATATTAAATATATATTTTTTTAGTTTTGCTGATTTGGGTTGGGCTGGGCATTGTATGAAAACACTGGAGGGAGAGGAGTTCAAATGACACTGAGCCAGCCCTGCTACCCAACTCTGTATTCCCTTAAAAACATCTTCTGAGGGGAGAAGGAAAATAATAAGGATAGCTAGGAGAAAGCAAATGAATGATTTTTCCTTTTCATTCCTTTTAAGTTAAAAATGCATCTTTATTTCTTATCATCATTATGCAGGCTGAGTATTCTTTTCTTCTCTTTTATATACATATACACATGCATATATATATACATATATATATATTTGAAGTGCTGTCTTAATGAATTGTAGTTGTAAATAAGATAACTGGGTAGTAGCTGTTTGGGGAGTCCTCTTCAGCTTTAGTAATTTATTGACTATTGGGAGTCAAACATGCAAAATCCTTTTTTGGGAAACTCCACATCTGATTTCTTGTTCTGTTTTGCAGCTGGACTTGTAAATACAAAAAACCTAATTTAATGTCCAATTTAAACTGGGCAGTTGCCAGCTCTCCCCATATTGTAGATTAGTGTGTGTCTGTATTAATTGTAGTGGAGTTTTGTCTGACAAGCCTGAAATTTATACTTTGAAATAAACTTTTGGGTTTTTAACATTTTGAGTCATCTGTGCTTAGTTCCTGACACCTCAGGAGACAACTCTCTCAAAAAAGAGCCCAAAGCCTGCTCTTCCTCTTCACCTCTTAAGAGGTGGCTCCTCTTAAGCCACTTTGCTTAAGTAACACTGAGCCACAATAGTTTGGCTCTTTGTCATTCCCAGGGAAGCAACTGCATGGTGCTGCCCTCACAGAAGCAAGAAACAAAAGCATGCTGTAACTTCTGGAAAGCCGCCTTGCATGCACTTCTGCAAAGCTTGGACAGACAAAATCAAGTAACCTGCTCCCCAGAGTTGCCCCAGAGGGATACAGGAATGGAAACCCAATTGCTGGTGCTACTCCAAAACCAAATTTCCTCCAGGGTGCCGGGTTTGATCTCCGAAAAAATAGTCACTCTTAGCAAGTGGCTTTGATCAAAGTACTGGATATGAGTTTGGTTTTTCACAGCACCTTGAGCCTGCAGCAGTGGTCCCAGCACACTCAACTGGCCCTGGTTCTCAAGCCAGGGGGCAGCTGTTGTGCACAGCACTAATTGCATTGGTCAAGAGTAATGAAATAAGGGGTAAATGAAAAGGGTGTTTCAGTGCAGGGATCAAGTCTCTGCTCCCCACCCTACTGCTTCAAGGGTAGAAGCCAGGAATGGCACCATGACATATGTTGTTCAACTCAGTTGGGACCAATAAGATGCTGGACTAGATGGCAGTCTGGGAAAAGCTGCTTCTTGGACCCAACTCTGTTGCCAAATTGTAGAGAACTCAAAGTACTTGGAGTTGCAGACATACCTACCCCGAGTTAGTGCTGACCCTGTACTTCGAGGGCATATAGTTAATTTGTGATGGTAATAATTAGTTTCCTTGCACTTACTAAAATTTGCTTCAAGTCACTGAGCAGAAGATAATGGACTCCTGTGAAGTGATGCCTCAGCACAAACCCACTTCAAAGTCCTGAGTTTCTCAAACTGGCTATTTAGACTAAGAGTATACATACTGCACATAGTTTAGAACATGAGTTTTATCATCAAATACAGTGTAACCACTCTGCTCAAGCACTGCTGTAATTGCAGTTTGTGCTGGAGTAAAGCGAAGTGAGTAAGTGAACATGCAGAGCACTCACTGTTTTGCTGCAGGGTGGCTTTGGCACAATACAACCACGAGAGGTGAGTTTGCTACTGGACTTCAGAAAAGGGGAATGGCAAAGGAAGTGAAAGCCTGCATTACATGTGGCAATTTTGGTGGTCCTGCTGGGAGGAGTCATTTCCTCTGTAGGCATTGCCTAGTGACTGAACAGCAGGTTTCTTTTCTTTATTGCAAGAGAGATTTATCACAACGACCTCCTAATTCCATCTCCCTACCAAGTAAGTGTCTCTCCAGCCAAGCCTGAAAACCTGAAGTTTAGGAGACAGAAGCTACAGGACTTGGAAAAATCTGGAAGGAGCAACTTCTGCCACAAATCCTCTGCTTAGAGCACACCTTCCCCCCTTTTTTTCTCCAAGTGGGATCTGCAGAAGGGAATAAGATATTCAAAGAGACCTTTAAACTTCATGCGGCTGCCTGAGACTTAATGCTGTCAGTCTTCTTGCCCCTGCAGGGCCATGCAGCCCTACTCAAAGCCTTCTCCTCTGGTCACTGGTGCAGCTGCACAGGGAAGAGGAGCTCAACCCAGCTGCTGTGGTCATGGCTGGCAGATCAACCTGGGCTGCCCCGCCAACAAAGGAAGCACAGTAAGAGGAATGCAGTGGCCTTTAACAGCACAGTCATCAAAGGCAAAAAAAAATAATCACAGTCACACGGAATGAAGTCCTAAGGCTCATAAGGTCCCATTGATGTAAATATTTACTCATAGAAAAGGACTCTTAAAAGTAGAGCTGTTTTCCCACAACTCGGGGTTGAAGCACAAAGCAGCTCCTGCCTCAGGGTAGGACACCAGATGGGAGAAACTCAGAGCTCCTATTTTCGTGCATATTTGGCATGTCATGGGCACGTCACGTGCCACACACCTCCACTCCCTGCAGGGGGAAGCATCTAGGTGTGCCCTGGATCAAGAACACTTCAACACAAATCAGTTGGCAACTTCCTGGTCCCTGGGAACCAACTTTAACAACACTCCTCCATTAGCATTTTCATATAAGATTGTGTGAAAAAGCAGTAAATACAACCTGCAATGTTTCTGCGTTTTCTACGAGTGACAGGGAAGTCAAGCCATCCTCCAGCCCCCCTGTGCTTCTAGTTTCAAACAAGCAGCTGATTCTTGGTCTTCTGCTTGCTGGCAGCTCAGATCCCTGTGCTGCTCTTCATGACCCAGCTCCACTCCATCTTTTAAGTGTGCTCCTTAATGCCTGTTACAGCCTATTCAATCCAATTCAATCTGTGCCAGTGGCTCCACCACCACAGGAAGGAGGTCTCTGCACAGAGAGTTTGGGGCAGGGATGAGGCACCTGGAGCAAGGGCTCACACAGAGGCCAAGGTCCCTGCAGTCCCAGCTGTGGGCAAGCAAGGTACCTTCACTGACTCAGGTAGGAGTAAGAGGGGCTGCTGTGTCTAAAACTCTGTGACCATGGCAGACTCCTCCCCATATATGCAGGTGGAGAGCACCTGGGCATCAAGCAAACATCACACATTCATCCTCCTCTAGCACAGGCACAGCTGCAACTGGCACAGACACCAATACCTACACTGCATCTGTGTAGGTACCAGAGCTGAGTCATTTGGCTCAGTAAATTTTACCAAACAAAGGACTGTATTGAAAAGCAAAAAACAGCTCTGTGGTGAGTACTTCAGCAGTTAGTCATTTTAAGCAGTGCTCCCCTAACCCTGCACATGCAAAGACGCTCTCTCCAGCCTTTCACACCTACCTCCTTCTACCTCAGCAAACAAACCATTTCAGTCCCTGCATGGATTTTTCATCCTTAACAATAGTTTTCCTGTAACTTCTGGTCTCCCTCTTTCCTTGGCAGAAGTCAGCCCTACTGTGACAACTGGATATTTAGAGTAGAACCTGACCCATGTTGCAGTAACTCGCTCCCTTCCCCATCACACAAACTAAACTCCAGGGGCTTGATTAAAACCTCACACTGCTCATCCTTCTTCACCTTCATAATATAGGGCAGTGCTGTGCACTGTTTAGCTTGGACCATCAAGGACATGTGGAAAGAGGTGTTTATTTTGTTTTACCTAATTACACATATAATATCTAGCACAAAACAGCCCAGTGACTCGACTCCTCAGCATAAACACAGGTAACTAAGAGTAATGCATCCAGCCCTGGCTCTAACATCCATCTCACTGTCACATTCCACTGCCACAGCTGAGGGAGCAGGTAAAGATGTCACCAACTGCATGAGCCAATCCATTGCAAAAAGGATCCATTGCAAGAGATCCATTGCACCACAGTTCTGTCCCTGCTGTTATGCTGCAGCTGTGGCAGGGGCATGTTTCCAAAAGCATCAGGCTGCTTGCCCTTCATCCCCTCTGGCAGACTGATCATTGCAAGCTGCTTTGGCCAAAGAAAACATTGCCAACACCACTGAAAGACGTGTCCTGTAGGTAACAGACCAACCTGCCATGGGGAACACAGCCTTGACTCTCTCCACTAGTGACATTCCTGGATGGGAAGCAAAATCTTGCAGCACACCTTGCAGGCACTCCTCAGACAAAAGGCAGACATCAAACTAATGCTGATATAAGGCCACCATAGCCCACAGCAGCCACCTGGCTCAGCCCAGCCCTGAAGACAGGTCCCATGTTGCTGCTAGAGACAGATCACTCTCATTGGTGGCACTGCTCTTCATTCCAGCTCTGGGAACAGCTGATGATGGCTCAGATCAACAGAAAGCTGTGCTACCTGCTTCCCATCAATCCTAGTCAGAGGAAGGGCTGCCCAAATAGCTCAGAAGAAAGGAACATGCACTGGACTGCACTGAAGCAGCCAACATCAGTACCAAGTGCCTAGCAGGCAGGACAGGGGAAAGTAGGTAAGGCACAAGGATGTGGACATCCAGATCAATTTATTACACACAAGAAATAAAATTTTCATTAAAAAAAATCCATATGAGGATACTGATGCTGGTTTTACAGGATCGGCCTCATGGTGACAAAATCAAAGTTGTATGATTCTGGCAGGCCCTGGTGCCGAGTGCGGTTAAACCGTCTCCAGGTGAAGACAGGGAGCCCTCCCTGCACTGGAGGGCCATTGATGGCAGAGGCTGTGAACGCTGATGCCAGGCGGAAATCTGACACCTGTAACAAAGGACAGGAATTCAGGGCAAAAGGACTGCATGTTGGGGTAATTCAGGAATGGAGAAAGGCAGCATAGAGTTAATATTTCTGCCCAGACTCCGCCCTGTTCCTTCACTATCTCCTAAGAGGTTCCCAGCTTGCTCCATCTTCCCAAACTCCTGTAGGGTTTATAACTAAACAGGTCTCACCTCTGCTCTGGACTGCTTCTCTCAATACCCCTCTTAGGTCCCCCTGTCTATCCCTAGCCCAGCCCATTCCCCTTGCCCAACCGTGCTGGCTAAGGCACCACAACCAGCATTCACTGACCCACTCCCTTACCAGACACCTCTACACAGCCTTTTTCTGCATTCCTCTTGCATTAACCAGCTTGAGGAGCCTCCCACTGGCCACTGCAACAGACAGCTGGCCAGGCTTGTGCAAGTTGGACACACAGCACTGGTCCCATCCTAGCAACCAAACTCGTAATCCAGGAACACAGCAGGCCGCACCCCACAGGATAAAACACTGAACAACTTCCCAGCACACCAGGGCTGGACAGCTGCTTACTCAGGCATTGCCCTTGACAGTGAAAACACCACATAACCTGCCCAAAATAAATGCTGCTTTCTGCAGGACAGTGAGTCTAAGGATTTTCCCACATCCCTCTAAAATGCTAAGTCATCTTCCCCAAACTTTTCAGAAAGCAGTTTTTCAGAGAGGTGGAGCCCCGGAGCAGGGTGGCTCACTAGCAAGCCTTTTGTAAAGATAAAGCTAAACTGAGACTGAAAACACATTCCTTTGGGCTCTGGGGAGGCACCCACGCAGTCCCCGTGAACAGGAGGCTGAGTCTGTACAAGTCACCTTCCCTCAGTGAGGTGAAGACTCACTTCAGCATTATTTTAGGCTCCTACTGCTGTAAGGCTTTGGGGTTTAACCCCCAAACACCACAAGTTCCCATGGACATAGCTGTTTCATACACGTCCCCCTGTTATCCTCTACCGCTGTGCCAGGACTGATGTCAGGGATAGGAAATAGACTCCGCACAGAATTCCCATCTGAGGATCTGCCCAAGCACTGGGACAGCATGAAGAGGGAACAGACATGCCTGGCCCTGCCTGCCCTAGTCCAGGGAAACCTACTACAGGTCTGACAAGAGCATGAACAGGCTGCAGCAAACATTCAGCTGATGTTAAAATTGAGATAATTTACCTTGGAGTCATAGCAGCCTGCAGGCACTGGTAAAGAAGGATTCAAGTCTTCCCGGCAGCAAATGGTGTTGCAAGGATTATGTTCAGCATAAGGATCACGCTGGTAGTCTGGAGAGAAATGGGGGGGGGGGCAAGCAAAGAAGAAAAGAAAATAAGTTAGCTTCCTCACAAAAAGCCAATGCAAAGCAATGGAGCCACTAAAAGCTGGGTAAGTGCACTCTATCGAACTGCTCTCGTGCTCCCCCCCCAGTACCAGCTAGAAGTCAGTGCTCAAGACATTAAGTACACAAACTCCTAATCCAAGGCCATACAGCTATTTCTGCATCCCAGGGGCACCGCTGCCAACCTCTAACCACACATCTGCAATTACACATGATGGAATTCAACATGATGAAAGCTTATAGAAACTTTGTCAAGAGAGAAAAGCAGAAGAGAAGGGGAAGTGGTGGGTGGGTGGGGAAATGCAGCAATGAGAGCCTTTGTGTTCCTGTTCTGGACTAAAGTTAGTGGTAAGGAGCAAAATCTTTGAACACCCACTGCAGTAGCTGCAAACAAGGAGGGGAAGGTGGACAAACCTCAAGGTCTATGAGGTTACCTACTGTTCTGGCTTAATCCTAGCTGGCAACTAAATACCACACAGCTGCTCTCCCACTTCCACCCAAGACCCTCCATGGTACCAGGAGAAGAATCAGAAAAATAATTGTAACAAAGTCAATAATAAAACAATAATTATAATAATGAAAAGGGATAGAGAGGGAGGGAGAAAGTAATAAAACCAAAGAGAAACAAGTGATGCATAATCCAATTGCTCACAACCTGCTGAGCAGCAATCAGCCCTTTCCAGCCAATTCCCCTGAGTTCACACACTGAGCATGACATTTTATACTATGGAATGGTATGGAATATCCCTTTGGCCACTTCGGGTCAGATGTCCTGGCTCCCTCCCAGCTTCTTGTGCATTGCTTGCTGGCATGGGAAAATGAAAAGTCTTTGACTTATCAACAACTAAAACATTAGTGTGTTAATTAATGCTTAAACTATCAACATTATTCTCATACTTAATCCACCTAACTGTTGCTTAGGGTTTAAGGCTCTCAAGATTGACAGGTTGTAGATGTATTAGGTAATAGCAGCCCACAATGTCTCTTAGAGCGTCAGAAGCACTCTGGAAAAGTCAAACAGCAAGCCCAAGGGCCCTTGTTCCTGATAGAACAATTTTAGCCTGGTTTCCTACCTCAACAGTAAGTTTGTGTTATCTATTTGCTTTGACTGTACTCTGCATTTAGGGTAATATAACTGATCCGTATGTGAGGCTGCAGCTTCCCGCTATAATCCAAGAAATAAAAGTAACAGTGCTTACTGAAATCAGCTCTGCAGTACATAAATACGTGTCTTACTGTTGTATCTCATGATGTACTTCATGCTTTCCAAGTCAGTCACCTTGCCCTGGTCTCGACGGAAGATTTTTGCTCTTGGAGCAAGCTCATAGGAGAAATCCATGCCGTACTTGACAACATATGACGCATACCCACTGAGATTGTAAATCTTTTCATGGAAAGGGATATTGTATGAAGGCCAGTAACCTGCCAGAGACAAACCCCAATCTGTTAATCACTTAGAAAAGCTGGATGCTCTTGCTTATATCAGAAAGGAAAAGAAACAATTTTCCGTGTTGCATTGCATGCCAAGGAACAACACTGCAAACTGGTTTGAACACAATAAGGCAACACTGGCATGACCAGGGTTGACTCCCAGTATAACACCACTGGAGACTGTACCCAGGCAACCCGCCCCCAGACATCCACCCTGAGGACTCATCCTGCAAAACAGCTGAGATCAGACTTGCAGGAGCCAGAGGTGAACACACAGCACAGCCACAGCCCTCCTGCAGAGGTTTCTCTGCTCAGCCTCAGAGGCGTGCAAGATCACTTACCTCACTTACCAAACTTCACAGTGAGAGGCTTGAAGTCACTCCCGTTTTTTGCTCCCTTCCTATCTCACCAGGGCAGAACACTACACCATGCTGAGATGGCAGGGATGGATCAACACACAAACACACAGACCACGAGAGCTACACGGGGTGAACAGGAGCCAGGCCAGCACACGCATGCTTTGTGCAGTGGTAGTTGTACACAGTGATGAGGAAAAGACGGGAGGATTGCTGCACACTTGCCAATAGCTGCTTTTGAGGGTTAGGAAGTGATTGATTAGCAGAGCAGAGCCCTGCACTAACTTTCCCCAAAGCAAGTGTGAATCCTGCAGTTTTTTTAACTCTGAAGAGCAAAGGATGCCAGGCAGAACTCCAGAGAAGAGTTTTAGGTAGGCAACATAAAACTGCCTGAAGCAAGTCCACTGTAGAAAGCAGAAGCGCTTGTAAAGAGCCAGGAGATCATCCAGGTCAGAATCTGGGTGCAGGAATAAATAAGAATAGATACCTATACCTTAACATTTAATTTTTTTACTTTTTTTTTTTCAAAGGCAGGCACCAAGGAGTTTTTAAGCAGGGAGTATATAACACGAGCTAGTCCCAAGAGCAGTACACTTGCAGGTTCTCTCCAGAGCACTTACATTCCCTGTTGTTACTTCTCAAATCACACACACCAGGATTTGGCTTAGAGATTTACCATCTAGGCACTGGTAAATGCAGTACTCCATGTATTAACATTAGCCCAGTATAACACAAGGAGTCTGGCTGTAAGATGCTCAAGAAAATCAACTGGAACTCACTGGGAGCCATGCACACAAATACAAACCAAATTTCCTGAAGGACAGATACACAGACAGCATAAGCACTGGAACACTGCCCGAGTGGAGGCCTTACCAGCTTGGGTCCTGCCTAGGATAGGGAAGACAGGAATACCCTGTCTACTGGCATCTGCTTATGTGACCTAGAGCCAACCTGAAGAAAACAGGTTGTGTGCAGGCTGTGTTGTAATACAGGTGTCCTCCAGAAATAAGCACACTTGCCAGTCTCTAATGACACAAGCCAGAGGATACGGATACATCAGCTTCCAAACCAGTAGGGTTTAGTTGTGATTCAAAAAGGTGCTATTGTCTCACATGAACCTGGAAAAGTTCTGTCAAAATTGCTATAACAGAGGAAGCTATTGAAGTTCTCCTCCAGCAAGAGCTCTTCTGTGTCTCAGGTTCTTGCAAGACTGCACATCCCATGCGGCAGCCAGCCTAAGCCAGGCTTTACCCGAGGGCTGCTATAAGCCAGTGAAACCTGGCAGGGTGCACAGTGACAAAAAAAAACAAGTCAAGAGAGAATGTAAGGCTGAAAGCGGGGAGACAGGGATGGCATGAAGGCAGCAAAAATTCCCTGAATCAAAATGCCTTCCTTCTCTGCCCATTAAGAGCAAAAGGTGTCAGCAATATCAAGAAGTAGAGCAATAATATATTGCACATATGGTAGAAGACACTGAGATCCCAGGTTCTGCTCTGGTATGTTGCCTTCGATATTGAAATCAGTATCTCATTCATGAGATGAACTCATTCATCATCAAGAAACAAGAACTGCAGCCCAGTCCTGTGACTTATTCCTTCACTGGAGACAGTGCTGCCCTCCCCCACCTCCTCTAAAGGACTGGCTTTTCTTTGTCAACGTACAGAAAGCACCTGGACGTCTTTGCCTGAAAAGGGCAACATAAGAAATGCCTGGTTTTGAGAACTCACCTGCACTGGCCTACAAAACAAGCTGACAGAAGCCATAAAGAAAAAAATTTTTCAATTTTCAAACCTGTATAAGGAAATGCTTCCTTTTTCCTCAGCACAAGGCTTATTACAGCAATACCAGCCTTTGTTCACCTGAGATTTCAATTCTCATTCTCTGTTGTTTCTAGGTTTATGCTTGAAAGAGACTTAAAAAGCCAGTGCTGGTGGCAAACTCACTCTGACCAAGCTAGTGTGAAAAGAGCATTATCTTTGGACACCACCTACAAGACAATGATGGAGTGTGCCAGGATCAGCCACTCTATAAACACTTTAAACCAGCACTGCTCTTGAGAAAGGTAAACCTCCTTCACCTGGGCTGCTCCAAGCACCTGGGAGCAGGGCTAGGGCCTCGACAGGACTTGTCTGGTGTCCTGCATGGCATGGAGTAGCTCCTGCTGCTTACAGGAGCAGTGTTGGCTTACAGCAGCTGAGGTCTCCAAGGCAGCACTTTGGCAGTGCTTAGCCCACCCTGTCCTTTTAATGGTTAAACTCCCAGAGACCAACTGCTGTGTTATCCAATACCCACAAGGTGCATTTAGATATCTGGGAAAAAACACACTGTAAACGTGAAGTAATATGTAACCTCTAATTGCCACCTTCAAGAACAGAGCAGCCACAAGATCTCCGAGGGAAGAAGTGGTCACTGTGTGCCCAAGCCCTGAAGCTGGGCTCAGTCCTACAGGGAATGCCACACTGCAGCTCTCAAATCGTTGCTGAAAAGGAGCTCAGGGTACCTGATAAGCCTGGCCTCTCTGCACAGGTACAACACTACTGTGATGTAGTTGCAATGTTTCAAGTGCTAGAGCTAAAGGGTCTCTATCAGCTTGTTTGTCTGCACCACAGTCACCGAGAAGCCCAAGGCAAAGGAAGCCAAAAGAGCCAGAGATGCATAAGGGAGAGACATGGGATCTTTCCAAATTATCAGTAAGAAACATAAAACAATAATGACAATGTGGCAATGCTTAGAATAAGCCAGAACTTCCCAAGGAACTAGACGCAAATAAAAAGTGTCAAAAGGGAAACAACCCCAGCTGCTAACATAAATACATTTCCAGTCATTTTGAGGATAAGCAATTCATCTATTCACCCCCTCAGCATGTGATTAGAAGAGGGAGCACAAAGCACCAGACACACACTTAAGGCTCAGGCTTTTGGTCGCTAATGTAAGTGTCTAGTAAACACTTGTGAATTAAACCAGACAGTGGGTGTTTTGCTTCACCTAGATTTTTGTTTTCCATCAAGTTGTTGCTAGTATTGCTAAGGAATTAAAGAAGCTTTTAAAGAGCAAATATTTATCAGAAAACAGACCTCCAGGAAAGTTCAGGAGATGAATATAAACATAGAACTCTTTCCTATTCAAAAGGTATTTCAAGTAGCCCACAGCATCAGTTACTTAGCACTGCTTCAAACAGACCCCATATTTTTCCTCATGGGTCTCAGGGAAAAATAATACCAGAAAAAAGGTAAGGAGGCAAGTAAGAAAGGAGATAAAGTCTATTTTTCCCTCCTCTGCTTCTGAGAAACACAGATGCTCACCCCATTTCTGCCACAGCATACCAGATAAATGAATACAAGGCAACAGAGGGTTGCTTACGCAAAGCCTTCTGAGGGTTGCTCACACAAAACTTTCTTAAACTCAGGACTAGTGTGCAATAAACCCTCCCCAGTTACAAAACACAATCCTCCATCAGTTGACACAAAGAGATGGTTTTCCTAAGCCAGTAACTACTATAGGAGCTATTACCTTTCCGGAGAACATTTGTTTGATCAGAATACTCCACAAGGGTTGGGATCTGCTCAACAATGTACAGTGCACCATCATCAAGGCTCCTCTGCAGCTTGACCTTCTTCAGGTCTAGCACCATGTACTGATTGTTGTAGGTCCCTGGGTATGAAAGCAAAGAGAGAGTTACATGTCCTGCCAGGGAAAAGGGTGTAACAGGTACACCGAACACATCCGTTTCCCCCAAGATTCGTATAAAAATGTATTTACCAGAGTTGCACCTGGAGAACGTTTCTGCCCAAGTTTTGCCATCACTTGCCATCATGTTCGCAATGCGGACTCTCTGCCAAGCCAACAGGGATTCAGGCACCACTTGCTTAATGAGAGTTTGGTTGAACACACTGTTGGTAGTCTGCAACATTACCAAGCCGCTGCCTAGTATGTAAAAATCATCCAGGGACACCAAAAAGCCTTAAACAGCAACAACACAAATTTTGTTATCTTTGGGAACCTTTGATATACTCATAGAAGAAAACAGAGAGACAAGCCAAGAGGACATGAAGAGTCAACACATGCGCGTTTGAAATCAAACTGTACAAAGATTAAAGATGAGGGGGTAACTTCTGCAAGAGCTTTAAGCCCACCTGTCAACACAGTTTGAAATGAGAAATTGTCATGCTCTCAACACACCTAATTCCTTGTCTAGAGCATTTGCTTCACGTTTGCATGCCAAGCTTGGAAGTTTCTCCATATGTCAAGCTATGTCTTATTTTTATGCTGAGGATTACATACTGTAAATGCCTAGGGCATGTTGGTTTCTAACAAAGAAATTAATTAAAAAAAAATTCAACAGTGAAAACCCAACCAAAGTACAAACTCCACAAAGATTTTCATCAACCAATTTCAGTTTTAGATTTTACTCTGTAAAAACAAATTAAATTTATTTGAATTAATTCCTTTAAATTAATCCCTTCTGTATTAAACCAAGCTAAGCAGAAAAATCTTCCTTCTAGTTTAATCTGTTCCAGTTTAACTATTCTTAAAAGCATCTCCAAGAAATGGGCATCTCTTAAATCATAAATCCCAGTCTGTATAAGAGAAAAAGCTCTTCCTACTCCTCTTTCTGACATGTTGTCACTGGATTTTTTTAGGTCTACGAGCTCTGCAAAGTCAACACAGTGATGGATCTCTAGGCAGGATTCCCTTCCAGGTTACATGCCAACAGAAGTACTAGGTCCAGTGGCAGATCCCACGCCAGGAGGTGCCATTCAGAGCTGCAAAGGTCAGCTATAATGCCTTGGATAGCGTGGTGACTACTTGTAAAGCAGAAATAACTTGACTTTGAGATTACTCAGCAGATACATGGCTGCCAGGCTGGGGAATAAAGGTTGTTAACCGAGCTCCTGATGGGGAAGTCATCCAGAACCTCGACTCTCGTTAACAAGTTTTTAATAGGATCAGTCTTCAAAGAGTAGAAAATGCTAAAATTCTGTACAACATCACAATAGTCGAGTTCCACTATGAAATTTTCTACAGCAAGCTTTATTAATACTCTCTGGAAAACAAACTAAGGTCACCAACCCGTGACAGCAAGAAAGACTACTCCATTCTGCCTCCTATTCCTGGACTTTATCTAAAGACAGACCTCATTCGAACAAAAGTAATGTCTGAGAGCTCAATTTCAGCAAAATTTCTTTAAAGTATCGAGTACTCAAATTAGAACAGATTCATGAAAATATACTTTGTGGTCACCTGTTCTCTAAAAATATATCAGTATAGAACAGGCAGAGAACCCTGGCAGCTGGTATTTTATTCTTGGAGACAAAAAAAGAATATCAATAAATTATGTACATCAACAGTAGAGATCTCTCTCAAATAAGTAACAAGAGAAACACTCTAAACCTGGTTCTGCCAGTCTTTTATACAAAGACATAGGACATCCAGTGATAAACTGTTGTATAACAAGTCAAGTGCTTGCCCAAATGGAGACAAGAAATGAAATTGTTAAGAAGTTGTGATTTGAATTAAGCACCAATTCTCATATGGGTGACAATGCCAAGTGCCCTACTTCAAAATAAATCAAGTAGTTTTTATCCTTCATTTTCAATAAACAGCTGAGATAAAACAGAAAAACTTGATTCAAAACAAGTGTCAATACAAGAAATGATGTTGAATTAACTGAAGGTTGAACTCTGTAATTCAAATAAATTGCAAAGCTCAGCTAAGCTGAAAACAAGGGGATTTCCTTCTGGGCCTTAGTATTTACCAAGTTTTATCCTACAATGTTTTATAACACAACATGCCCTCCATGATACACCATTGCTAGCCTAATTATTTCAAGATGGCATATACCATTTTGATTTAGGTACCCTTGAAATAAAGGAAGTTAAAACACCAACAACAGATTTACACAGAGTAAAGACATTCATAAAAATAAAACCTGGGCAGAGAAGTCTAGAGATATCAGCAGATATTTGATGTCCTCTCGTGTCATTCTTCTATTTTTAAGTATGTATGATAATCTGTTGTAATTGAAAGTGTTATCTCTGCACAGTTCATCTCTTCTTTTCTGTAGAACCATCTCTGTAAACCCATATCCCATTTTGGTCTGCAACACTCAAACCATTTATTTATTTTTTTTTTACCCCTCCCTCTGATGAACCTGACTCTTCCTATATAGAAACAAGCAAAAACACTTCTGATTGCATCTTCTGTGTCTGAACCATTTAGATTCAGTTTCCAATCACCACTGGAAAACTGAAGGTTTCAGAGTCTGGAGTTTCATTCATCATGTCAATATTAATCAGCCAAGCAAAGCAATTTTTTGCAGTCTGAGTGACAGTGTTCTCCAGAAAGGCAGCATATTGAAGAACACGTGGGTGGTAACACATTTCTGGCAGCTACTGCTCCTAAAGAGGTAGGCTGTTGCTTTCTGAAACAGCATCAGCTTTTTTGGTGTTTTAGAAGGTCACTGTGCTCATTCAAATACAGAAAGGGCCAGCATTACAGGCTGGAAGCCAAAGCCTATCCCACAGGGATGGGAGTAGCTCCCAACTGAGATGCTCAATGTTCTGGTCTATAAACAGACTATGGAAAAGCAGAGGTATTCTCTGGATTATCTTTCCTGATGCTATCTGTAGCTGCTTCTCAAGACTGAACACCTTCCTTCACTTCACAGCTGCCTTCCTTCACTTGCAGACATCTCCCAGGCACTAAGAAATAAAACATTCCATACCACAGCTCTGGTCTCTCATCTCCTAAGTTCAGACACATCCTTTGCTTCCATCCAGGTTTTAAACAGATGTTGGAGGAAGCAAGGAAGCAAGAAATGGTCTGGCAGTATCTCATGAGCAAGCAGGTCCCCTGAGAACAATGTCTACTGGCCTTCTCGTGGTCTGTTCCTCCTAGGTCTTGCTCCAGCTGGCAGGAAGAATAATGCTGCACTTTCTGATCCTGCATTAACACCAGATTACTTCAAAGCAAGGGACACATACTACTCTTAGCATCACATGTATAGACACTCATAAGACAACTTGTGCCATCATATTCTCATGTCATAGCCTGCCTCAACCAAGCAAGATCCCAACAGCAGACCAGAGAAGCAAAGGTAGCAGTAGAGTTCTTCTCAACTGATTTGCTTAAATGGCTAAAATCAAAGTAACATGCTTTAAAAGACTGTGGCTCAGCCCAGAGAAGGTAGTGCACTACCCAAAAAAGAGTGCTTGGGTCCAAATGGTAGATTCCCTTTCTTAAATGGTGTTCAAAACTTACTGTTCAAGAAGAGCTCTATTCAAATGGATGGAAATCTTGGGAGCTGCAACCTCCCAGCTATTCAAGGAAAACTGCAAATTTTATCAGTTAATTGGGCTCATTTCTTTGAATGCCTCAATGGGGCAGTGTAGAGAAGTGACTGGGGAGGAAAGGAGAGGGGCAGAAGGAAGAGAGGTGCAGCTTTCTCTTTAATCTTTACTAGATATGTAGTGCAAAATTTAGCACCTTGTCTCTATCTTCACATTTCTTACTCCCCCAAATGAGCACAACTTCCTCAACATTTGTGAGCAACAGTAATGTGTCTGTACAACTTAAGCTCTCTCTGCTATGCATAGATTCACCAGCCACATGAAGCACTTATGTCCAGAGCTTGAAGAACACACTGAAGTCAAGCAGCATACTCAAGTATTCAGCTCAGAGACATTTCTCCTTTCCAAAGATTCACAGAACTGTCATACATGCAGCTCTGCACACAGACACTTTCAAGAGAAGCAGTAGCTAAGACTATGAGCAGAGCTCAAGTGAGGATTGGGGTGGGTTAGTGTGGAAATGAGCAGCAAGTCCCATTAAATTCCACTCAACTGTGCCTCTGCAGCACTACTGCTGCTCTGAAGGGGAGAAAGCAGTATAGAGAAGACATGCTGTTAACAGTGGACACTTGAACATCCTGACAGGAATGTGGATAACTGCTGGGGAAGCTGGGAAAGACTCTTCAATCCCTGCCTGTCCTCCTACCTGCTTGGGCACAGCAGGAGCAAAGAAGCCCAAGGCCTTCTAGCTGTACAATGCACACGCTGACACACATCATGGTTACTCAGCAGTGTCAGAAGCTCTAAACTGAGTCACAACAAATATTAAGTTTTGCAGATTAGTAGCCTGTCTTTTGAAATTCAGTTAAAAAAAAGCCAAATAACATGGACAATTTTACTCGATGACCCCAGGAGAAATCAGGAATTTGGTACATTCCTTCTCAAAAGCCAAGTGACTCCTTGAAGTTTTTGTGACACAGCTTTTGGACAGCAGAAGAGTCTGACTATATACAGCCTACTGGATTACAGCAATCTTTAAATTACTCAGTTAAGTGTCACTGGAAGCCTGGAAGGACACCTGTCTTTTAATGCTGTTTCCTCCAAAAGTCAATACCTCTGTGTTCATTAGGATTAGGTTACTATTCAGGAGAGATTCCTAGGTTGGCCTCTCTTACTGGTCCTTAGTGTCTATAAGGACAGAGAATAGGAGTGGGAACCTGCATGCAGGGAGGTTACAATTGTCAAGTTGAACCATGGTCAGGACCTGCAGATTCCACAGTCAGATGTCCTGAAAACATCATCTCATCATAACATGGAGCAGAGGAATTTGGCAGTTCCTTCCTTCCTACGTGATGTCCCTTGGGCATTACTAGGCCAGTGCTTTAGAGCTTACTCATCCCCTGGCAAACTGCAAGTCTGTGAATACATCCATAGCTAATGCAATTTGCTGCAGCCAATGGACCATGCTTGTCCAGTGCTTGTGATAGCACCCTGTAATCAGGCAGCCAGGGAGCACAGCTGGCATACCACAGGTCTCTCAAACTTCATGGGAACTATACCTTGCAATCATTCTCACTCAATTTTGTTGGCAGAAGTACACCTTCCCACATTGCTATGCCAGAGTCTACAAAAGCAAGCTTTAAAATAAGCCATCTTTGCAGACCTCAACATCTCAGGGAAGCACACTGGGATTTTGTACACTAGTGAACAGACCCCAGTCACTTCAGCGAAGTAGTAGCTTTGTATGGGTTTCCCATACAGTGTGCTTTCTTGGCCTCATGAAAACCAAATATTGGTATTTCAATTTATACAAAGAACCCACAGAAGGAGCAACCCAAAGACATCACCCCAGATACCCACTACAATAAAATAATAAATGCTCTGCGTGGTTGATCCTGATTCCTGGTTTTGAATCTGCAGCACAATGCAGTACGCAACAGTTGCTGAACAGAGCTACATTCTCCTGAGGGACAGTATTATCCTCAGTACTTCTGTTGAGAGTCAGAATAACTTTATGAACATTCAGGTGATGAACAGAGCTCAGACAGAAACCTTTGCTTTCTACAAAATTTCTTTCAACGAGCAAGCGAAATTCCTCCAAGGCAATCAGAGATAACCCAGGCTCTTGAAAGGCTGCACACTTAGATATTTGCCAGAATATCTACTTCCTCAAAGAAAAAAAAATTTCAGTTGTCAGAAAACATTGCATTCCTGAGGGTCACTGAGGAGGGTCGGAATCCCACGGAAAAAGGCTTGTTTTCAATGTGAAATGAATGCAACTGCTTTTCAAAAGTTTCCTAGTCACAGTCTCAGGAGTCCCTCTCATGAAAGACCCTTCTCTTTGCAGTAAGGCACAGTAATTCAACAAAGGCACAGTAATTTCAACGTTTTGAAACTATCAACCAACAAAATTTCATCAGAATGAGATAGTCTCCTGTGGCACACAGGTCACTTAAAAAGGTTTATGAAGACTCTTGAGTGTTTGGGTATTTTTTAATTTGAATTTTTTTAATTTGAAATTTCACCTTCAAAAACTTAAGCAATGCTAACTCTAAGAGGGAGTCATAGATACACTTTGGTTTTTCACGTTCACATTTCTTGTGCTATTCTAGCAAGAGAATTTTACCACTGAAACATTAAATGCTGGCACTTTCTAACATTTGGCCTAATCTTACCAAAGGAGATTTTAAATATTATGGTGACTATATTACTAACACATGAAATAAGCATAAAAAATTACTGCCCTCTGCAACAGCTTATAGAGGAGCTGGAAGAGGAAGATGTGGGCAGAAAAGAAAAAAAACACCAAGCCAACAACAAAACAACTGAAGGTTTGTTAACCCAACATCAAAGAAGTCAATACAATTTCAAACAGCTAGTGTTTGCTACTTGCTAATAATCCCATTACAGCACGAGTCATGTCACAGTGGTAAACACAAGTGTTCAAAACTGTTATTACCAAACATGTGAACGCTACAGGCAAGGTGAGGAGTTCAACAGTTGAGATGACTGCAGACTACACGAGCAGAATCCAAAGCAGCATGTTTGTGCCAGAGGTAAAATATTTAACTAGTACTATTTAGAGCACTGCAAGTGATTAATCAACAACAAAAGACAATGACAACATCATGTTCAAACCAGAAAACTGAAGATGGCATTTTGTCCTCTTGGTGGCTACAAGTTTTAAGGTAGATTGAAGCCAGTGATTGTTGAGGTATCATTCTTTTCACAGACAAGACAGCAAGGTGGTCCATGCCATACTGAATAGCTACAGGGCTTTGGTTTTCTTGACTTTACCTGGGTAACTGCTGAATGAGACACGGCTGGTGCTAGTGTATGGATCAACTATATTGAAGTTCCAGTGCTTATATATTCTCAGTGTGGCTGCATACGTAAACCAGCTGGAATGGGCAAAATATATATTCTCATATCCAGGTAGAACCTGAAAAACATAAGCAGAAAGATGACCCCACTATATTCTGCCTTCTTTTTAGTTGATAGAAGCTGGGAAAACAACCTGTTTTAAGTAGTTAGATTAATTGCATTACTGAAGAAAGAGCAGATTCTTGTGCTTTTAACTGGGCACTTAATGAAGTTCTGAAAACCCCGGAAACAATTCTTGCTCATGTGTTGTTCTCAAAATAAAACAGTTTAGGGTTACTGGGAACACTTGCATCACAAGGAATGTTTTTTTTTCCCGGTTTCATTTTTAATACTTGTATTCACACATTCAGATTGGATCTTTGCAAGCATATCCAGCGTTAACTTAAAACATGCTGTTTCTGTGAGAATAACTCTGATTTGCCTTAAAGTACAGAAGCAAATGCAAGTAAATTCAATTTGAAAAGGTAAATATATATATTTATAATATGTCTTTTCAAAATATTTCCCTAGTTCTAAGATTTGTTGTTAGGCCAGAAACCTCTTGCTGGAGGCAAATGCTTGAATGAATGTTTTACAATTTAAGGTGAATATTGTTGCTCTGCAATACCTGGAGTCTCCATATGCTAATTAAATCCTTGATAATTTTAACTGAAAAATGTAATTGCCACCATGACGTAGCAGACACTTATCTTAAAAACGGGGGGGGGGTTTCTGTCATTACTCCCATTGGAAAGCCATTCCAGAGTATCTCTATCAACAGAAAACAGCAGCCACTTTCACCCATTTATCTTTGTTAGCACTGTCCTTTAGTTTATGTAATGCTTTTCCCTTTCTCCCTGCTTCTTTGCCCAATGTATTTGTAGTCATTCACAATACCCCTTCTTTCAGACTTCGCTTGGTTAGGTGAAACAAATTACTCTCTTCCAGTCTCCGCTTTGTGGTAGTTTCTCATTCCCTAGTAATTCTAGTAGCTTTTCACTGTCCATCTCTGTGGTTTCGCTTTGGTTTGGTCTTTTCCCTATCCTTAAACACAAGTGAAAAAAACTGGACTCAAAATCCTATGGAGGCACAAGTTGTAACTGCATAAATACACCTTAATCATCAACAGAAGTACCTTTATGCACATGCAACATAAACAGGAAAGACTCTTAGAAACGTAGACTCGTGACACTGCAAATCAACACAGTCAATGGAAATAAAGTTCTTGGTGCTCACCTTGATCAGTGCAGAGCAGTGTCCCATATCCCACTGGTATCTCCCATGGCCTCCTGGTTCCACATTGCATTGTCCACCCCGTGCAGAATACTCAAATAATGCAGGAATAAGGTCCAACAGGTCTCCAACAGCATTCAGAAACTGGACATCAAAGTTGCTCAGTGGCTGAGGAAAAGGAGAAAAGGAGAGACCACAAAAAACACCTTGCGACAGAGAAGCATCAAGACCGTCTCCCTTGTTAGAACTTTTCTTACACTAACAAACACTCCTGGGAATTCTCAGATTTTTATAAACACTGCAATTTAAGACATCTTTAGGACTGAGGAGGAAGAAACAAATGAGGGAAACAAGACCTGTTAGCAATACCAATCAAGTCAGAAGTAGCTGAAGAAGGAAAGTCACGCAAAAGGCTATGAGCTTTTGAAAACTCCTTATGGTTGGAGCTAGCCAGAGCTGACAGCATTAACTACACACAGCTGGTTGTGTAACATGCTCTTCAGAACCTCCTCTTAGTTCGCCCCTTCAAAAAAAAAGAGCTTAACAGTGGTTTAGCCTCAGCCTTCAAATACCATTCTCTAAATCTTTCCTGTTCTTGCTTCCACCATGCTTTTAGTTTAAGCAAAGCTTAAGGAAAAGAAGTCAGAACACACATCACTATAGAGCTGTGAACAGTAATTTTAGAATGGCACATAATCATATAGCAAAGAAACACATTGCTTGCAATATAAATCAGTGTTATTAAACCATATAACTGATGTCTCTACAAACCCCAAAAAGGGGAGACAAGGACACAGAAAAAATAAACAGTGCCAAATCCATTTACTTTTTATTCAGAAGGCTCAATTCTGTGTTATTCATCTGCTGTTTTGGCAGAAGGCCTCAACAGCAGCTATAGTTTGAGGAAGAAATCCAAAGCAAATTTTCATATATGTTACAATGCTTTAGTTCATCATGTTTTTGCTGTAAGGATATAAACAGGGAGCAACATCAAGAGACATATCTTTACATAGTTTTAAGCAACTTGGAGGTATGAATCATTTACAAATCAGTCCCAAAAACTTTATCTCATTGGAATCCATACAGAGAGACCTGGCAGTGTTTCAGCACAATTTTTCCCCATCCAGCTGCACTGAAAGGTCTGTGAGCCCACCGCACGATAAGGAGAAGCTGCTTTCCAATCTCTGATTCACACAGGCATTACTGTACAATACCAGGAAGGGAGCAAACATATGAAAATGCTCAGCCAGCCCCAAGACATTTTAATTATACTTGACATCCATTTGCTACCAACTCCATATTCTCCTTCATAAAACCTGCCTTCATTGCAACATCTACAGGTAGCTACGTTGATCCTGCTGCAGCATCAGTCAGAATTGCCTGTATATTTCTTAAGTTTCACATTTCTGCACTTTCTTACAGTCACTTCAAGTCAAAACTTTTTTAACTATCAGGAAGTCCATTCAACTTAGAACAAAAGTGCCAAGTAAGAATACTTTCATAACAACAAGCACAGAAAAGTAGTCAGAAAGCAGGAGGAAGGACCCGCTCAAACAAAGTACAGGTTATGCAAATTCCTAGGGCTTCACTGGGTGAGATTAGGCTGCCAGCTGCTAAAGCCAGCCAAAATATAAGAGAAGCAAATGAGGATCTAGGTTGTTAAGCACCCACGGGGGTTGGTTTCATTTCCCTTTTGAGGGGTAAGCAAATCTTGTTCCAGTTTATTTCCAAGAATTCATTACTCTCCTTGAATAAACCAGACTTTGTGTTTAAGACTGTCTGATGCTCAGCAAAATCACACAAGCACAGAGCTTCTCTGGAGTCTCAGTAAAACAATGCATTGAAACAGAAGACACGGGCATCTGCAATGCAGGCCAAATCTGGGAATTTCAGGAGTGGTCTGAGGCTTCTGCCTTAATGCCAAGAGCCCCGGTTTTGGAAAAATTACAGCTGATTTCCAGGATATGTGAAGATATCTCTATGAGGAGTTAATCAGTGTCCACTAGCAATAATTAGACCTAAAAACCTGTGCATCATAACAAGTGCATAATAGAGGACATATTACAATCTTTTGTAATCACCTTCTCCTATCTCACAGAGCAATATCAGGAAAACTCCTTGTATAGATGGTTTACATCCTGAAGAACAGGGAATGAATGAGCTAAATTGACATGGAGAGGTGGTACAGCCACAAGAGAGAGTCCCTTTGCTAGAATGTGTGGCTCCTCTAGGTAATGTCCTGAATAGCAAAACAGACAAACAAAAAAAACCAGTTTGAGTTCCAGTGACATAAGCAGCAGGGAGAAATAAACATATAAGGGGCAGACAGGACAGAACCAGCCTTAAAGGCTTGTCTACATGAGACATTAAAATAGACACCTGTAACCATTATTTTCCAGTAACTTCTCCAAGCATGAGCACCCTCAATACAAAATAAAGAAGTGCAAATAGAGAGCTGTCTTGGAGTCATTGTAGTATTTAAAACTCTGACACCTCCTTATTCAAGAGTAATATCCCTGCATAGACAAGCCCAAGATTAATCACAGCGTTGGTAAAGCATTAGGCAGATGAAAAGGTGTAATGTTCTTTGAGTGCCCCTCCTTCAGAAATTGTCTTAACAAAAGGGTTGGGTTTGTTTACTGGATATAAAATGTTGCTAAACCAGCTAGAATAATGTCACATTTTAATATGAAAATATATTCAGATTTTGACATCACTCTTAATGATACCTGCAAGTATCAAATTCAAAATACAGAAGTTTACAATATACATATACATTTCCTTCCTGCAGGTCTTAATGGAAGCACTTACCTAAAACAGCCCAGCGGGAAAACAGACTCCATGCAATTCAAAACAAAGTTTAGAACGGTATGCTACAAAACATTTGCTTCATAAATAATAATAATAAAAAATTATGTACTAGTACTACTATCAAACAGTTCAGAGTCCAAATCAAATGTTCTTTTTGCAGTAAGGCTCAGTTATATGTGGCAGACACAATGGTTCTACAATATTCAAGTGAAGTAAACCTGAAGTTCAGAGGACAGCAGAAAAATTTCAGAGTGACCTGTGTGCACATAATCCAACTCTCATTTAAGCACTGTGGATTTGGCATAGTTTCAAATTACCATGCATTATAACAGACAACAGAAAGTCAGACCTTTCAGTTGTCTTCCTCAGTAAGTGCACATCAACTAATCCACCAAATGGAAAACTCAACTTCTGGCAAGTTTGAAAAGGTTATGTGTAATGCTGATGAGAAAACTGAAAGCATGAAATGTGTAGAATTAAAAGTAGATTAGCAATTGAAACAGCTTGTTTCTATGCTCCTGAAAAGGAAGCAATTTTATACAACTATGCCTATTGCTTAGTGTTGAAATCCACAGGCCTTGTAAACACAGTTCCTTTTCTTCATCCCCTTTATCTCTTTTAGTCTATCCTTGTCAACCAACCAACTTCTCAGTGTTCAGGAGAGCACTCTGTCCATGTATGATCATTCATGGGCAGAGGAGAAATGTAAGAACTTAGAAATCCAGCTCCTCCTCCCCTTCTCTTTCTCCTGTCTCTGATATTTTGGGAGTTATGGGAAAAAGCTTCCCAACCTTTTTTCTACAGCATTTATTCTTATTTTAAGCCATGGGTAATGGGAGCAATTTCCCTCTGCACATACCAAGCAATTAGTTGGATTTAGAAGTACACAGTTTTTCCCAATAGCAGGTAGAACATCCGGCAACAAAATACAGACTGTCACATATTGGGTTTTGGTTGGGTTTTTTGTGGGTTCTTTTGGTTTGTTTGGGTGTGGGTAAAAAAGGAAAACACCACAATTCACACACAAGGTATTTTAAATATTTCTAATGTTCATTACAACCATGAATCTAAACTACTGCACTACTAGATATCAAAAGAAACTTGTTCCTGATGATGATAATCCTAAAACAATAAACACATGGAAAGGATTCTTTTTTAATTAAACAAAAGTAGTATCTACCAAAGGATAGATGTAAGAAGAGACTTTCAAAGCACTGAGGAAAACACGCAATGGGAATGAGATTTGCTTTTAAAAGCATGTAGAATTTGGGTTTTTTTTAAGGTGAGAACTGAGTAACGTAAATAGCTCATAGTTGTTACTGCAGTTGCCACCCAACAAAATATCAAAACGACTGGATTAATTGAACCAAAGTACAATTCTTAAGAATAAGAAAAAAATCATCTATTAGGTGAATTTATTTGCCAAACATTCTACTTACTAACAATCTAAAGGATTTAAACAGAAGAACCTTTTAAACATTCTTATAATATGTACTGGAAAAGGAAAGTTGACAACAGCCTCTTTGGATGGCAGACTTCTTTAATCACAAGGAATAAGGAAGATACTGTTGGTCTTCTTGTTTGTTTTGTTTGTTAGTTTAGTTAGGGCTTTTAAGTGCCAACAGTTTACAGAAGTTGAGTTGATGCTCAGACAAATGGATGTGTCAAAGCTAGAATATTAGTCAGCAACTTTGCATCTGCACCTGTTTTCCTTGCCCATGTAAGACTGGAATAACAGTCTTCAAGATCCTGAAGAAGATGCTAACAGCAGTAAATATGTACATACACAGCACTGGTGTAACCTAATCTCCCAAAATTATTTGAAAAGTAGCATGGTATCCAACAAAATGAACTGCCTGTACTTTTGCAGAGCTGTCAGGTATTACTTTGATGCCAAGGAAAACCAGCACCTAGGTGCAAGAGTAGCTGTCCAAAATGTACTCAAAGGTAAGAGACTGATGCTAACTTACTGGCTCTGGCACACAGAGGAAACAGCAGCACATCTCAAATGAGAAATACATACACAGGGAACATTTTTGCTTTGAATAAAAATATATGGATCTCAATGTAAGTGATAATGTCCAAAGCTAAAATTGTGACTGGCATAGAAAAGAGTCAAAATAAATCTCACCAACTGCTGCAGGCACATTTGGGAAAAGAAAAAAAAATATAGTTCAAGAGTGGAAGACACAAATATTTCAACCTGAACACATATCTGAACTTTCACTAAGCACACTGTTTTTATATAGGCATGCTGATAAGGCCTCTAAAAAGAGGATAAAATTACTCAGACACTCCAGAGGTCAGTGCTTTTTAGCAGTTAAATAAGCAAGCATCAGGGAACACACCTTGCAGGTAGGACATGCCTATTACAATGAAATAACTCAGACACAACCTAGCACTCTCCCCTCCCCCCACCTGAATCTAAAAGATTCTGAAGCAGCCAAAAAAAAAAACTGATGAGCTTTGCAGGGCTCTTCAGATACAGGTGTTACAAAAGGGAATTAATGAGTTCTTCTCCTAGAAAGTCAAGGTTTCTAGTATTTTCCCCTATAAACTCAGGTCCCTCAGGATGGATCATTGCTGTGAACACCTTTTTTTTCCAGTTTGAGCTGAGTCCCCATTCACGAAAGTCCTGGAGTAAATTCTATGCAAGAAAGATGTACACTTTACTAAAATGCAATTGTTTACAATTCAGGACTCCCAGCTCCTCAAAATTCTTGGTATAGTTAAACCTAGGCAAAAAGGGTCAACTACAATTATTCAAGTTCTCCCTCTCACACTGAAAAATCTATTAGACATTAGACTTTATGACAGCATATGCTCTACAGGAGTTAAAGGACCTCTGCTATTACATACAATCTGATGATCTGGAAAACAATTCTAATTCAATTTTAAAAAAAGGGGGAACAAAAAAACCAACCAAACAACAAACTACCACTAAACAAAACCCCCAAACCAATCCCACTTGGCCTGTCACAGCACTGACCATATATTTTGTAACCATATGTTTTGGAGACTTAAGAGACAGAAAAGGAAAAGACATTTAGCAATATAAAAAAATAGAGAGGTTTTTAGAATTTCAAATCTGATGCTTGGAAATACGAAGAGAAGGTTTAATATACTCCCTACGTGCTGATTCATGCTATTGTAGGTACTCTATATACCCAGAGGGTCATTTGCTCAATAACAGTTGTAAAGTGACAGCAACAAGCACTTTAAAAGTGTCTGTCCTTCCAACATTCACATATGGATACAAAAGCCACCCCCAACTTAATGAGTCCAGGGTTCCAAGTCCACTGCAAAGGATCTGTGGTTATGTGACCCAAGTGCTCAGTCACATTATCTACACTGAACAGCCACTAAAGATTTTGTAGACTGGCATGCAGAATGAGTGCTTGCCACTAAGTATCTACTTTTTATTTTTAGACAGCAGATTCCCTTCTCCCATGTTTGTCCACTGACATCCCATCCCCAGCTACTGAAAAAGAGATGCATAGTCTTACTGTTTGTTTATGTAGTTTAGCCCACTCGAAGGCTCCCATGTACAGACCATCCAACTGTGCAATAATATAGCCAGCATGCCTCCAAAATGGGTCATCCTTATTATTTCTGATTTGCTGTCTTGTCCATTGATCTTGCTTCCTGCAGAGGAACAAACAGGTTGCAGTTTTCTTGAGGTTTTTAGAGTGTAATTGATAATGCAGGGAAGGGACAAATATATTATGACTCAGATGATCCAACCTTACCAGTGTTTTGAGGCAAATCATACTTTGGAAATCCTGCAGATATAAACATTACATCCTCCATGTGTAAAGGTTCATGCAACATACCCTACCATCACATGCTTCTACCAGTCTTTAGTATCAAAGAATGAGTTGGACTCCACCTTTGTGGCGGACTTTGCTATAGGAAGTCTAGCATCCCCAAAGAGTCAGTAAAAGGAAACAAGCATTTGATAGGTCAGATGAACCATTCCCTTTTAAATGCCTATTTAAGAACAGAAACAGACTGACAATTGAAGAGCCTAGCTCTCTCCCTTATTTACAAGTGCAATGAAGGCTTTGCTGATGGTGCTCAAACACTGCCTAAGAACCACTGGTATGCTCCTCTTAGTAAAAGGTGGGAGGCCAAGCAACTATGCCATGTGGTGAATTCAGTCAAGAGCCAAATAATCCAGGTTTAGAGCATGAGGCAACACAAACTGAACAGACTCTAGGGGCAGGAGCAGCCAATATTACAAGGATCTCTCAGAGTTCCCTCTTTTGCTATGCACAAAGAGGCACAAAAGAACCCTTGGAAATCAGGACCAGATTCTGGCCTCTTCTATCCTCCTGTATCTATCCATCCAGCAGTATGTAAAGTAGCAAAATTGAGAGAACGAACCTGTCAAGGAAGCAAACTCTTCCAGCGGTATATGGATGATAAAACCAACCAGACTTAGCTTTCTAGAAGCATCAAGATGCAAGAAATATGTTGGAGGAAACAGGGATATGTTCAGAGCATTCAGGGCTAAAGACTTCCAAGACAGTGCAGCAACTCACATTGCAAAACTACTATAAAGCAGCGATGCTTTATTTTTTTTGAGGATATATGCAATAGAAAAATGATGCAAGGCCACCTAGTATTGCCCCCCTCCATCCAACAATGCATTTTAGGGAATAAAACTGCTAAGCTGAGTCATTCTGGGGAAAAAAAACCCATATACATTGCTATGGTAGCTGTCAGATTTTTCTCACAAGGAGGAGCACAGCAGTGCTGAAGAATAATAGCAAGGGAGTGCTAAGATTTTTTTGCCTACCTTTTGGATAAGCTAAAACCAATCAACTTTATATATGTGCACCAATAACAGAATTAGTCAGATATATCACCCCTTGCAGAAAGCACAAAACAAGGGAAAGATGGAAAAAAATAGTCCCCAGAACTGACAGTTTCACAGAAGTATTTGTAATGGAAAAAAACATAAGTCTAAGGAGATAAAATAATTGTTAATCAGAGCTGAGTTTTCCAGTACCTGGCTTGGTTCTTCTCCCACTTCTGGTTTCCCAACAGTGTAGCTGCATTATTCAAGCAGAATTACTTTTGATTTATACAGCTGAAGAGAAAAGTGAGTCAGGACTTTTCTGATTAGAACAGAATTTACATCAGTGGTAGAATAAGATACTAACCCAAGAGAGGAAGAAAAGGATACACAATGCTAAAAAGATTAAGGTGCCAGGAGACCACTGTTCAGTAACATTCAAAATACCAGCTTTTTAGAAAAGGATTTTTACTAGAATGACCTTCAGAATTCATTGACATCATCCACACCCTTTTGTAGCAATGGTTTCAAACATTTCTTTGAAAGAATCAGCATTGGGGAAGAGTATATGCCCCTCTTCATTCATATACTTAGAATTTCTTTTAATAATAATGACATTCAGTCAGAAGGAAAGGGAGCATATATTTTCTTTATCCCAATAGGAAGAGAATAAAAACACCTTGAAAATTCTGCCACCCTCCAACCCCAAGTCTTGAATAATTTATTTTTAGTAACTAAATACATACGCCATAAAATTCTGAACTCCACTTCGGACGGTGGGATTCTTAATTAACTGTGGGTACATATTTGCAGCATGGTCATACATGTGCCTGAAAGAATAAGAGTAGCAGGAGTTATTCTTTTGCATCTTTCCTTCCTTCAATTTACCAACCCATTGATCAACAATGACAGCATTGACAGACAAGCAACACAGTCCACAAAGTAAGCTTTTCCTACAAAGCAGAAATTACTCCAGTGTATGACAAACAGCAAAGGTAACACAAATGGATTGTTGAAATTTAACTTAAAATAAATGACCTTGTCAATGCCTGCTCGAACTGCTGCACAATGCAAAGATAAGCAAGAATGAGACTGAACTACTTCATAGCAAAACTGCACATTCAGGGAATATTTGTAGGCCAGAAGCATCTTGAAAGCATTAGCACATTAATTCAAAGCACAACAAAAATAGTTTTCTGGAAAGCTATTCTATTTGGAACAAAAAAACCCACAAGGGTAAAGATAATATAATTTTCCAATTCAGTAATTTCATTATTTGGAGAGATAATTTCAGCAGGTTTTACTTGCTAGTAAAACCTAGCAGGTTTTACTTGCCATTAAAAATGTGCTTTCCTTCCTGATTAAGATAAATATCCCCATTTTAAAGTGTGTATAGAATCACAGAATATTCTGAGTCCAAGGATCAAGTCCAACTCTTAAATGAATGGGCCCAAGGGATCAAACCCACAATCTTGGCATTATTAGCACTATAAGTTGATCCTATATGTTCCCACAGAAACTCCCACTCCCAGCCCTAAACAGATTCAGCTTTATGGAGACTAAAATTCTTGTGTTTTTTTATTTGGGTAGCCATTTCATCCCCATTAGCTAATAGAAACAGAAGTTGAAAGGTTTTGTTGGTTAGTTGGTTAGGGTTTTTTTGTTTGTTTTGTTGAAGTCCTTCAGGATGAAATCAACTACCAAAAATGCTCAAGAATCCAGATATTAAAGTCATCCTTCCATTTTACGTGAAATGTAATTGTTTGATTCAAACCAAAACAGAAATTCAACATTTCTTAATTTTGGGTCAAACTTAACTAATTCTTTTTTCTTCAGTCGCTGATTAAATTTAAAAACAAAAAGGGGGAAATCAGCAGAGAATTATTTCGCTGAGGTCCTGAGTTGATAGATACAGAACTTCATCAATCATCAGTAAATTTATCTCCTACCAATGCTAAGAGAAAGAAAACAGCACTGAGAAACAGATACCAGCCTCAAGGGAAGCCCATGCCAGCAGGACAGAATTCCAATAGCAAAACCCATGAGAGCAGCTTTTTCTGGGAGGGATGCAGACAGGAGCTCTTCCCAGTTTCCCTCAGGGGACAATTAGAGAATACAGACAGATGACTGAATGGTTTGCTGATGATTAGAGAATCATCCACTGATCTTCTCCACTATTTCTTTCCTTTGCCCCATTCCCAGATGATTGCATGAACTTGATTGCATAACCCTGCTGCTTCTTATCTTAGCTCTGGTACCATTCTGACTACCAAATGTAATTGTTTGCACACATTCAGACAAAACATTAACCCAGTAAAAATGGGAATTATTTTTCTGGTAGTTTGAATTATGTTGTTATGCCAACAGATGAGCAACAGAGCTGGTGCAAAAAGACAGCTCTATACTGTGTTAGTAGATTAACTGATGCATGAAAGGGCAGACACAGGTTGAGGGGATCTGTGGAGGGAGGTGCTGGAGCAAGAGAGAGGAGCATTCAGCAGCTTTACACCATTACACCTTTCACGAAACTGCAGCTACAGCATTAATTTTAGTTCTAGAGTTTCCTATCTTCCACATAACACAAGACTACATGACATAATCATAACCTACTTCTTGAAGAGGATAAGAAAGTTGAAGAGACAGATCAATATTCTCCACCCCTGCAAATTCACAGAGAATTCAGCAAACAAAAATCCCAAGTAATTTTAGGAAGGAAATTAGAGCTTAGCCTACTCCATGCTACAAATCAGAGCACACCTGTCACTAATGTGGAGCAAACATGTGGAGCAAACATGTGGAGTTGGTTTACCTGGCAGATGGTCATTTAGTGATTAGAAGCAGTTGAGGAGGATACACAGCTAGGATACTGCTCTAACCACTGCCTAGGCCAGGACAAATGATCAGGCTTCCAGACTCAACCATCAGCTCTACTCCCTATTTTGCACTCAAAGGTTATGCAACACAGGCAGATTTTACAGTAGCATTATCTTTAAGCTGTAATGACTGATGTAGAGGTTGGGTTAGTTCAGAATCAGGGGACTGAAAACAGCTTCTTTAATGGTTTTCAGTCTTGTTTATGTTAACAGGGGACAGACAATTCCTGGTATTGATTGGGGTTTTTTTAATAACCAATGTTATCACGAATTTTTCCCCTAGTTGCTCTCTTTGATATTTTTGCTTTAACAGAGCTTCTGTGTGCATGGCCGGCATGTTCTGTAAGGGTATTATTCTCTGAAGTAAATTGGATCATTTTAGTAAGGTAGGGCTTTGCAACTACATCTAAAGCCAAATGCAAGGTAATTACAAATCTGAGACAAGAATTCAAAGCCTAAAAACAGAAAAGCAGAGCCCTGCTTCTTCAAATTACTGAGGAAGATGATAGGATTCAGGTCAGCTGAAGCTGTATCAGAAAAGAGTAAAATTAATGTCGCTTCAAATTTAAAATACTGCTCTTGGGCCCCTGGCAGACCCCCACTGGAGCTATTTGAAATAATGTCAAAGATTTGGATGTGCTCTGCCACTAAGTAAAGTAAGGCCTCATTAACACTTCTCTGTTTGCAATGGAGAAAGAGAATTCATACCTGAGAACACCAGAGCAAGTATCTTTGGCTGGATGATAGGACTGGACCTTACAGAGGGGTGAGAGACCGGGGATAAAAACAAGTGTCTGGATCCCCAGACGCTACAGACACTAGGATTCAATTTATCCAACCCCTAACTATGTATTTTCAAAACATATAGCTATCTGAATTAGGTGCCGACATTAGAAAAATGAAGCATGCTCTAGAAAAGGCTTATGTTTCTACCATCACTGGTAAACTGGTCTGACTAGATGAACTATCACTTTTTCTACAACAGACCTATACAGCTAGAGATGAGATTAATTTTTCCTGAGTAATCTGACATAAAACAGTTGTAGCATACTTCATATTCTGCATATTTATTTTTTTTTTAGTGTGGTTGTTTTACAGTCTGTTTAGGTTCCTACTAAGGGCAAAGCATATGTTTTTAAGAAAGGTACTTGGTCACTCTTTTGCTTACATGATAAGGCCTAGCTGTGTCTTAAAACTCTCCTTCATGCCCTAGGGTGTAATGTGAGAACTGAGCTAGCTGAGAATTCCTGAAGGTCTCCAAATTGCAGGCACTGTCAAGCCGCAGCTCCTGCTCACCCAACAGCTTCTGCAGGAACCTGTGCTTCAACCTGGGATCAAGCACACAACCTTTCCTTCCTATTAATGCATCACATCAGAGCTCTTCCTAGTAAGATTTCAGGGTGAGTCATTACCACATATGGATGCAAGACAGCTGGACACCTTGGAGTTAAGACAACAGGTAGCCATGTGCTAAAGGGCTCTTCAATTACCAAGCATACCCAATGTTTTCACATTGGAGGGCTGTGCCTGAGCCACCTGAGGTGCTTGTACAGGCAGCTGACACAGGAGTCTTCACTCCAGCAGCTAAGTGGCTGTCAATGCAAATAGAGCCTTCCCCAAAGCTAAACACATATTTACAGTCTCCCTTGTTGTTACCAAGTCCTTCAAAAGGAAGGTTGAGCTGAGTGCAGCTACTGTGGGCACCAAGGTGTGCAAAAGTGGAATGAGAATGTTTAGAGACACCTTCTCATAATGGAAGTTGTGATGGTGCTGGAGAGTTTCCCTGAAGAGAGGCTGAATGGGCCAAGAAGTCCGATGGGAACAGAGTTACAGACTGAGAAAGGCTGTTTCCTGGTGTTACTTCAGAAGACTTAACTGTCCCAAAGATAGAACTTCTGCCTGCATATTAATTAGGATCCTGTGAATTTCTAGGCAAGATGAAGGAGAAATGGAACTCTGAGAGCAATATTAACATCTGCAGACTTAGAGAGTTCTCACTTCTCCTGCGATTCAGGAAATTGCAAACACAGCGTATAAAAGGATTCATTAGTTGCAGTTTGCCAAATAAAAATCTACCAAGGTCGTGCAGCTAAAACCTGAAGTAATAAGGTTCTCTGTCTTCTCAAAGGTCAAGAGAGTATATCACTAATTCATCTCTGCTCCTTAGTTGAAGCATTTTCAAAAGGTATTCTTAGTTTACAGAAAAACCTTCTTTATCCAAAATAGCTTTATATGACCTGACAGGAAAAGCTTATGTTCATCACCTCCAGTGAGAAATATGCTTCCACTGCATTTACAGACATACAACAGGGCAAAGACATAGCAAAAAACCCAAATTCAAATGGTATGTATAATATTTGATAGTCATTTTAGTGATGGTAAGCATTTTCAGGTCTTGCACTTGTCAGAGGATTTCTCTGTGGATTTTCTCAAAAAGTTTCCCCCGAAAAGACAGGCTTTAGCTACTTCTGGTTTTGCATCTTAACCCACTCTCGCACTTAATCGCCTTTAAAAGTTGAATTTCCCATTTTGTTTAAAAGCCAAAGTCTCAAGCCCTACTTTTCCACATTGATACAAACCCTCAGCTTCACTTCCATAGACTTTGAGATCTCTGTTCATTACTATTTCTGCTATATTCACTTCTCTACAAAAGGCCACCCAGTGCTGGAAGCCCTACAGCAACAACAGCCAGGGGTAGGAACCAACCTCCGTAAGCACCTGACCTGGAGAAAGTGAAAGCCTTGAGCAGAATAATTTGCATAACTTCACTTCTGTGAATCTTCATTTAACACCCATGGGGAAAAAAAACCCAAGGGGGAAAATCTCCTTCCTCTAAAACTCAGCATAGACTAAGACACAGCAAATAAGCCTCTGCAGACACTGTTTCACATTCAAATCACATTTAAAGCAACAGACATATACTTATGTTTGTTTAAAAGCCAGGAAGACACATAAATCTACTGTGGAGGCAGAAGAGCAACAGGGTATGAGTTGTTGCTACTAGAACACTACCTGACATCTAATGGGGCTTAGCATGGCCTGAGCTACCTGTAGTATGACAAAGCTTAAGCTTAATCATTTAAGAGATTAATATACCTAGGTAAAGCCTTAATGAAAAAAATCTGTTGAGCAATATCCAATTTTAACAATATTCTAAATGTTATGCTAGCATCGCCCAGATCCAGACATAGTTTACATAAATTAATTGAATAGCACAAAACAGGAACCTCTCAAGCCAAATAATCCAACAATATACATTCAGATCTCTCATGTATTTCATTTTCATGTATTTCATGTATTTTCCTGCCTGAAGTACAGGTTGTGTGCTCAAAACTCTAGGATTCCTTTACTCTTCCTCTCAGAAGTGTTTTGTTTTTGACAAGTATTACTTTATTAAATTTCCCTAGCATGCTTCTAGAGACTTAGCTGCCTCGCCAGCAGAGACTTACTAGAGTGACATTATCATGTGATCAGAGAACCATCCATAAGTATTAACTGATCTTAAATTATCTTCTTAATTAAATTAATATTATCTTATCCAGAAGCCATATCTGACAAACATTCAGACAACCTTCCCTTGCTGACCTGTCCAACACAGTCTGTATTTATTTCAGTGTTCTGAAAGCAAAGCTGACAAAGCCAAATTCATGTCACTGCAGCCATCACAAACCTCTACCAACTGTTCCCCAGCCATGCATCAGAATTTTGGAATTTTTCTTTTCCTCTGTCAACTTAGTCATAGGAAAAGATGGAGCTGGTTGAACAACAAGCCATGTGTGATGTTCTTAGCTACATCACCAGCTACACAGAATCATTTAGGCTGGAAAAGACCTTTAAGATCATCAAGTCCAACCTAGCACTGCCATCTACTACCAGTGAGTATTTCATAGTGTCATTCTGTCTTGCAACTGAGTCAAGGAAAGAACAAGGTATGGTTTGGGGATTATTTTTTTTGGTTGGCTGTTGTTTGGGGTTATGTATTTTGGGTTGGGGAGGATTTTTTATTTAATTTTGTTTTATCTTGGGAAAAAAAAAACCTGCTCTGGAATCATAAAAAGTACAAAATTCAGACAGTTTTCATAGTGGGAGAAATTCAGTCCCTCAGGGCTTTCAGGAGAACACTGACCCTTCTGGACATACACCAGACTTATCAGTATATATTTTTTTAATTTTTTTTTTAAGTTGGCCAAAACAACTTCCCGTGCTGTGAAGTTTTGGTATCTGCTGCCTAGCAGTTTCTTGACAGTGTTTATTGAAAAAGGTCCTTAAGGAAGCCCTGCAGACCTTGCTAGCAACATTTCTCCCTGACTGATCTGCTCTCAACTGTCTCATCTACTGTTGGTCAGTCACCTAACCACACACTGGGGAAGTAAGGACTTTTTTTGCTACCCCTTTTGCAATTATTTACAACACAGGGCTTATGCACTTCCTTACACATACACTATTTTGTGATTACATTAGTCAGTAACATAGATGCAGGACTCATCTATCTCACCAAGGTGTTAGGAGAGCCTGCAGAATGAGAAGCGGAAGGCATTTTTGATCCCATAATGAAGAAGCTATACCTCATGCCTGCTACTAATTAGAAGAACAGCGTACAACTGCAAAATGTATGGTTAGTTTAAATGGATGGGTATTCAGGGAAGTTAAAGCAAACAAAAAAACCTCACAAGTACAGAAATCCACTTGAAGTGTCATAAATTGAGTTGCTTCCTGAGATACTTACGGAGCTGTGAGATAGCCTTCCAAGAAGCCAGCAGCATACATGATATCTTCATTGCTTAAGGTCTGACTGCCATAGCCTGCTCTGATCTCCAGGACGCCCCAACCTGTTGTCTGTATACTGTTGTTGTAGAAACCATAAGCATCTCCACTCCTGTCCAGTGTGTTCCTGACCTGAAGTGTTTTTTCAGCTTTATTCCAGTAGACAGTTGCATAGCGGATTTCTGTGGTGGAGAAGAAAGGGGGCGAGGGAAACAAACAAACATAAGTAGGTATTTCCTGTCCAATACTGAAATGTCAAGGCAATATTTTGGCAATTTAAAAAAGTTAATTTTATAGCTCTCCATCACATTTAGTTCTACTGTGGAGATCAACACTAATGTTAATGTACTGAAAAAAGGCATGAGAACCAACTGGAGCTTTACAAAACCTTACAACTAAATATTCTCATGTTATTCTTCTGGACATTATCTACAACTCTTTCAGTGTAGAGCTCCAACATAGCTGAGTGTTGACATAAAATTCAGAAAACAATTTCCTTACCTGGTCCAGAAAACAATCTATACAAACTTTACTGAAAACAACTTTAGAAGACAGCATGCCCTAGGAACTGCAAAGGATTATAAGCTACTGTTGACTTTCTTTTCCACCTAAAGATTCAAAAAATTGCAAAAGTTTTCAAAACTGACTTTCTGGGCAACTAATCCTGGAGATGGCATAACAGAAGCACTAGGACTTAGTGGATCACACGGTTAAAGACAAAAGCACCACACATATGCAATCCTTTTTAAGACACAAAATGCCCATCACCCATCTGGAACAGAATCAATCCCAAGTGTAAAATGAACAGGAAGTAAGGGCACTAGACTGCTCAGAGTTCCACTTGGACTGCTGTTTTAAGAAACATACTGATGTTTTAATCCTGCTGAGCTGAAGAACAAAGAGGAAGGTACACTGCTTTCCAAAGTAGCAAACAAACAAAACCCCAAAACCCCACACCCTACAATTTTAATTGAACCTTCCCTAAAATGGAACATTATTACATTAGCTCTTTATTCAAGAGTGATCAAATCACTAATACAGTATTTTAAGTGAAAAGAGTTTAAAAACTATAAGTCAGAGTTCCTAGAATTATTTGAAAATTTTTAAGGGATAAACTCACAGACAGTCCCTCTGAATGGCTGTACAGCCCTCTGGTCTATCACCAGCAACCTTGCTGAGGGTACACTCTGCCCCATTGCTGAGGTCATTAAGGAAGATGCTGAACAGTATCAACCACTGGCATATACCACTTGTTACCAGTCTCCAGCCAGACTTTGTACCACCGCACACTAGGTCAGTCTTCATGATATACTAGAGACACTTCTCATGGTAACAGAAGACACATTAGCAGAACAAGAATTTTAGTAGTGAAAAAACTTTGGGTTTTCCCCCATTCTATGAAAAGAAGTGTTACATGAATATTTAGAGATTAAGTCATTTCAGGGACTTGGAACACAGTGTTTAAAAACATGTTTTTCATCTGCCAGGTACTGAGGCTATTTAAAGGACTGAAACAGGACAGACTTTGCTTAGTTTTCTGTTGTCTCCTTAACTATCTTCTAGTAATACATGCAGTAATTTCTACTTTAGGTTAAGGGCAAACATGGGAATCACGCAGACTGAAAAGTCTGTAAGCAGAGGAACAGGCTGATAAGGCTCATCACTGGAGAGAGCCGAAGGTCACCTTACAAAGCTAAAGCTTACACAGCAAAAAAGTCAGGGAAAGGGAGGTCCTGAGAAGTGGTGCAAGGGGTCAGTGCAGAACACAACTTGTCTGTCCAGCAGCAAATGGGAAGGCTGATTCCAACCAAGAGGCCCATTGCAGGGCAGAGGAGAGACAGGCCATGTGCCCAGTACACAAAGATGTTGAGGAATGGGTAGAAAGAGCAAGAACAAAGCAAGGCAAAGCATGATCATCTTCCCATCTCTTCAGGAGGTTGTAGAAAGGTGGCAGGAAGTCAACAGGAACCAGAGCAGCTGGGTATTGTTACTAGTGCCCACAAACTAAATAGGTATGTCAGAGAAACTTTCTTCTGCCTAAAGCAAAATAGCTGTTCCTTTCTTTTGTAAAAGAAAGTTGATGCCAATGCCAGACAGACCTATCTGACACAGGTACTCTAACACGGCAGGCTGGGTTTCTTTGTTTTATGCTCTGCCAGAGCATGAACATGCAGAGCTATTTTCAAAAGTCAGAACAAACTTTTCAATTACCCTTGCAGTTTGCCCTGCCCCAAATTCACTACATGACAAATTTAAACTGAAGAAAACCAGGACTCATAGAGGATGGGAGAGGAGGGGAAACATTAAATTACAGGATAATTTCCAACAAACCTTGAGAGGCCCTTAGAGGAATAGCATCAAGGTAGCTGTCATAGACATAGTTTAACCATAATGCTGGAAAACACTATTTCGCATTACTGACTCTTTTTTTCATCATCTCATCTCACCTTGATGCAGTTGGAGTTAAAACAACAAGCTTATAAATTTGTGTACACTTCAAATACACTTACCCCTCAATGTAATCAAAGCATTTGCTATCACCTAGTCTATTACAATTTTGTTGCGTTCATCTAAATGAGCAGGGCTACCTTTGCCAAGAAAACTGAAGAACAGTATGACACAGAACTGAAGTATAGTATGGAATACAGATACACAAGAAGCAACTGCACATTTCCAAACAATCCTGTTTGAGTTCTGAAACAAAAGGAGCCTTTCCCTTGAATAATACTGGCATTCTTATATTTATTTTTGGAGGCTGAGGCAGGGGCCATAGCATCTCTTATCCCAGCAGTTGTATTGGTAAATTCTTGCATATAAATCAAATGCAACATTTCCATGAACCTACAAATCATCCTTTTATCATCAAAGTTAAGACTTCAGAGTGTGCAACCCATTAGGGCTCTGAAGAACAAAAAAAAAAAAATAAATGTGTGACTATTCCATAACAGTGTTGCTTGGAATAATATAAATAACACACCAAAGAACACAGTATTTACTGCAATGAATGAGTCAAAATCCCAGGGGATAGGGTAGGTCAGTGGAATCATCATTTCCATCCCTGCAATGAGCCAGCCAGGAGAACTGCACAGCATCAGCAATACACAGTTCTAGCACAACTACCAGTGCACTGCATGGTGGGAGAGAGAAGTGGAAAAGTGCAATGACAGAACAAGTTTGGAAATAAGAGTTTCTTCTCCTTTCTGCAGTCAGTAAGGACTGGAGGAAATCCTCCCTCAAACTGTCTGCTTTTAAAGATACATAACCTTTCTGTTAAATACATATCCACAAGATACTACTCTTCTGTTTCACTGAAAACTAGTTTTGCATCACTTTGAAATACAAAAAAATCTAGAACAAATTTGCACATCTGTTTTCAGTATATCCTCTCCTACAACTAAGATTCGGTAGTAAAGATTATATTATCGCAGTGCAGAATTTAAATGTTTCAGGTCAACCTGAAATAAAGATGTTTCCATTCAATTTTGTAATTTGATAGAGCTTGGCCTATTTTCCCATTAAAAATTTTACAGAATCATAGAATGGCTTGGATTGAAAGGGACCTTGAAGATCATCTAGTTCCAAATCCCATGCCATGGGTGGGGACACCCTTCATTAGACCAGGTCGCTCAGGGTCCCATCCAACCTGGTCTTGAACACTTCCAGGGATGGGGCATCCACAGCTTCTCTGGGCAACCTGTTCCAGTGCCTCACCATCCTACAGTAAAAAACTTCTTCCTAACATCTAATCTAAACCTGCCCTCTTTTCAGTTTGAAACTACTGCCCCTACATGCCCTTGTAAACAGTCCCTCTCCCTTCTTTTTATAAGCCCCCTTCAGGTACTGGAAGGCCACAGCAAGGTCTCCCCAAAGCCTCCTTTTCTCCAGGCTGAACTACCCCAGCTCTCAGCCCATCTTCATAGGAGAGGTGCTCTAGGCCCTCTGATCATCTTTGTGGCCTCCTCTGGTCCCACTCTAACAGGTCCATGTCTTCTTTTTTTTTTTTTTTCAAGAACCATCCTTTTAACTATTTAAAAAAGGTTGTATACGTCTAAAGGACAACTGAAATTTCAAAATACAGTTATGATTGGAATCCATTACAAAACAAATATCAAGTACTTCAGGGCTTCTTTAGAGATTAGGTTAAATCACATAAGAAATTAGCATGAAGCCCAGTAATTTTCAAATAAAGGAGTAAATGCTTTCTTGATCTGCTTGAATATAAGCTATTTGTGTTTCCTATTCTACTGGCCTTAATTCATTCTATTTCCTCATGCATTTCAGGTCGAAGTAATTTTTCAATTTGCTTCCAACGGGCCTGTCATTATTTGAAGCCTAATCACCCGATTTGTGCTTACATCAGAGAAAAGCAATATTCAAATGTGAACTATCAATTAAGAGTTTCAGTCTTGTATGGTTTTCATGTTCACAAGGATACTTACTAGTAAAGCTTAGCTAACACAACAGATTTGCCAAAACAGTTATAGGTCCCCAGTACAGGTCATCCAGAGAGGAAACAAAAATAATCATTCAACAAGTAGCTTTACTAATCTCGGAGTACCTCAATTTAAGCCATTTTTATTAGAGAACATTCTCTAGAAACAGTTTCCAAACTGTATGATGAATCTTCAAGGCATTCAAAATGCTGAAGAACAATGAACCAAATAAAAAAAAATAAGGAATCTAGACAATTCACAGTGTTGAAAGCTCTGTTTAGTCCATTAAATAGCCTAAAGGCATTTCTATTTGCTCCTTAGTAGTTTTCTACCAGTACTTCAATTATGATGTTAGTTTCAGCTAATACCCAATTGATTTCTACTTCATACCTGAAATTTACTTCCAATTCCTTTGAATGATTCACAGCTGACCTCTCTATCCTGCTAATGTAGTACTGAAGTGTTTGCCAATTCAGGTAAAATTTGAAAACTAGGTCTGCGAGATGAGGTGGGACTGTCCACAAAATTACATGCTTGTAACATTTTGCAAACATTGAAACAACTGTTACCTGAATTTCTCCTTGTTTTGTGGCAATTAATAAATTAACTCGGAAATTCCCAAATTATAAGCACGTAATCCAGCCCTTAAGACCTTCACTGAAAGCAGCAGAAGAGGGAGATATTGTGTCCCTGCCCGTGGCAGGGCCATTCCAACCCAAACCATTATGTGATTCTCTAAGAGATCCAAAACACAGACCAGACCTATACCCAACAAGCCAGCACTAGTCACAAGTCACAGCACGCTGTAGGCCACAGCGCCACAGCAAAGCGTCCATCCTAAATGATTCCCATGCCTGCATACTACATGGAAAGCCAGCACTGGTGGGAGCTCAAGGTAACTTCCCATCTGTTGGATTCCTTAGTTTGGTTCCTCTTCTGGGAACTGGGAAGACGTTTTGGAAGCGCCAGCACCGAACACCCACGAGGCAGCCCGGCCGCCCCTGCCCGGTCGCCGGGGCACGAGGTGCTCCCGGAGCAGCGCGACAGGCACCAGACCCCGCCCGGCCTGCGGGTCCCGCCGCGGGAAGCGAGGACTTGGCGGCCTCGCACCCGCGTCCCAGGCAGCACGGGCAGGAGGCGCGGCGAGGAGCGGCCGCACCAGGCGGGGCGCGGAGCCCGGCGGGTCCCCCGGGCGAGCCGCGCTGCCTCTGCCGGAGCCGCGGCACAGCCCGGGCCGGGCTACCCTTACCTACCGCCGGGCACCCCCGGGACGGGGGGCACTCTCGGGGCTCGGGCAGCCCGGCTCTCTCCCTCCGTCCTGCCCACCCCAGCGAGGGGGCTTCGTGCCGGCCGCCCCCCCCGAACCCTGCTCGCCTCACCTGCGCGGCCGGCTGCCGCCCACAGCAGGACGAGCCCCCAGCAGTAGCGGCACACGCCGCCACCCGGCCGGACCATCCTGCGCTCCTGCGAGCGCCGGGAGGCGGCGGGACTTTAAGAAGTTCCCTCGCTCAGGGCAGGTCTCGGCGCTGCTCCCGCCTCCTCCGGCGCCCGCCCCGGCCGCGGTGCCCCGTGCTGGAGGTGGCCCTGACGGGGCGACGGTTTTCCCCCGCGCCGGCCGCCGGGAGGTGCGTCGGAATGTGCCCGGGAGCGGCCGGCATCTTTCTTGACCCAGTAGTTGTTTGGAGACAGCTTTCTTGACCCAGTAGTTGTTTGGCTGGTGACGGGGGTCACTCCTGGCCGAGGTCCGACCTCGCAAGACACTGAGGAGGGGGCCCCAGGCGAGCGCCTACGGCGCCCTTGGGCTTCCAAACGGTGATTAACCAAAAAGGGGCGAAGCTTTATCAGGAAAGGCTTCCGAAAAGCAGCAGGAGTAGGGTGGTGCCTTGTCAAACTACGCGTTTTGCATCACAGGAAAGGCAGCTTTCGGCCCTGTTGGGAACAGCAACTGTCGTGTGTGTTCCAGCAGAAAAAATGAGGGACAGACCTTTTCCTAGATTTTACAGGTAGAAACAACTTTCCATGGGGTTTTCCCTTGAACCCCATTGGTCCAGATAATTTTTAGGCACTGTTGTTGTCTGAACCCCATTGATTCAGATCATCATTTTGGCACTATCGTTTTGTCTGTTGCAGTGTTGGATATTCTACGACTGTCCTAAACCAGATATTATTTGGATTTTGTGTTTCAGTAATTGTTTAAGACAGTTCAAATTTGATACCGGTGCCTGTAATAGCCTCATATAACAAGGTCACATGCCAACGAGTTCAGGCCTAGTAGCAAGCCTTGGCCTCAAGCCCAGGGTAAGAGCACTGAAACACCACTGCTGGCTGCAGGGATCCTTCCATACCCATCACTGCTTTGTTCTGAGCTGCTCTTACAGATAAGCATAAAACACAGTGCTGTTACTTTTTTTTTTGCCTTCCCAGTGAAAATTAACTTTTAAGTGTCTAATCATAAATGGATGGTGTGTTTGCTTTGGAGGAATATTTTCCAAAGTTTTTTCCAAATGAGAAACTCACCCCTCTCACATGCTTCTCTCGGTTTGACTATGCTGGTGAAGAAAAACAAAATTATATTTTCCATTGAATTCCCTGTATAGGATTATAATGGGAGAAAAAAAGTATTTAAAACAGGATTTGGAGTCATGTGAGAACTAGGGCAGAGAACACAAATACATGATGCCAAAACAGGAGGTGAGTGTGGATGAGTGACAAGTGATGTTCCTCAGGGGTCACTATGGGGACTGGCACTGTTTACCATCTTTGCCAGCAGCATGGGCTGGGCTTGAGTGCACCTTCATTGAGTTTGCTGACGATACCAAGCTGTGGTGCAGTCAACATGCTGGAGGGAAGGGATGACATATCCAGAGGAGCCTTGACAGGCTTGAGAGGTGGGTCTGTGTAAACCTATTTAAGTTCAACAAGGCCACGTGCAAGTTCTAGGCATGGGGCGGGGCAATCCCAAGCACAAATACAAGCTGGCGAGAGAATGGATTGAGAGCAGGCCTAGAGAGAGACTTGGGGTGTTGGCCAACGAGAAGGTCAACATGAGCCAGAAAAGCCAACCATATCCTGGGCTGCATCAAAAGCAGTGTGGCCAGCAGGTCAAGGGAGGTGATTCTGCCCCTCTACTCCACTCTTGTGAGAACACACGTGGCTGTTTGGCCCCAAATGTAAGAAAGACATGGACCCGTTGGACCGAGTCCAGAGGAGGGCCCCGAAGATGATCAGAGGGCTGGAGCACCTCTCCTATGAAAACAGGCTGAGAGAGTTGGGGTTGTTCAGCCTGGAGAACAGAAGGCTGCTTATAGCACCTTCCAGTACCTAAAGGTCCCTGCCAACCCAAACTATTCTATGATTCTATGTATGATAAAAATGAAGTGGGAAGGAATCTGAATATGACCCAAAGCTACAAAAGTCTTGTTGTGTGTTTGGAAAGGTTCGCTTCCACATGCTCCCGGACCAGGGATTCTCAGGAAACCTTTTTTGTGTGTGTGAGTTAAGTCCAAATGATGGTGATGAAGCCAAAATTCTTTCCACTTGGACAACAAAGTTATTTCTCACACTAGGTTTTTAATATAACACTTCATTGCTTAAAAAAAAACAATTAGGAGAGGTGGATGACTGGACTTTCACTGATAGATTTCTGGTGGTAGAGCGCTTTTTGATCTAACATTTGATAATAAAATGCAATGATAAGACATTGAATCTAAGACAGATTCAAACCAGAATTCAGGAATAATTTTTTTAAAAGAGTAGTCAAACTTGATTTTATTGTGATGTATAGATATGTGCAGGGGCAGCCCCATGTGGAAAACAAACCTATCAGAAGATGGGTCCATCAACTCATTGCTAAGGCAACTATTTATCTTCACAAAAAGATGTGAAATTTATTATCTGAAGAATGCTGGAAAGAGAAGGGCTGTTGCAAACTAAGCGCTGTTTAAATTAATTGTCTCAATCAATGTTAGCAGACATTTGCTCTAAAATAATTTGTTGAGGTGTCAAGGATGGAACCCATAAAACTCCTCTTTAAAAATTGACTTATGTCATTTCAAAGATCAGAACAGCTCTGCTTGAGATAGTAGTAGTAGTGGGCCTCTTCGGGCTTAATGAGTCCAGCACTTGTCACTGCATTACAGCTACACTTGCTGAACATATCAGATGCAGTAATAGCCCAGTGGTGCCCAGCAGCAGAGCCCTCACACCCAAGAATAGACAAAGCTTGTCGACTGGCACCACGAGGCAGGAAGTAGCAGGCTTTATACTTTCTTACTGTGCTGATGTTGTTTCTAACACATACCAGTTTTAGAATATTAATAATTTTTTTCTATCCTCCTCCAGATGAATGCTTTCATTAGGTCACAGACAGAAGATGGTGTGGTAGTAGTGCCAGTTCGAGTTTAAGATTGGTTACATATAATGTGAAAGCCATGGCTGTTGGTTACACATTTTCTGGTCTTTCTCTCTACCGTGTTCTTGGGTGTAGGAATTTACATTCATTAGACAAGAGTACAAGCCCTTTGGCACCTCATTATTTAATTTTTCCAGGAATCTTTGCATTCCAGATCTATTTACATCTACATTGTTCTTTTTGTGTGTGTGTGTTCTTACAAAGCCAATTTATATTGACAAAGAAGAAACACAGGAATTGGCTTGCTCTTTTTAAATTATTTTATGTTTACTTGAAAAAAATGCTGTTTAAAACCAATGATTTTGCACCAATTTTATTGTTTGAATACTGACCGATGTTTGACAATGGTGGAAGAATTAGCTCTGCTTTTAAAGCCACCAATGCACAAAAGGTCATTGCAGAAGTTTCACTCAGTAGATGTTATTTCTTCATATGAATGCTGATTTTCTTTTACATGCGTTCCCTGTGCTTTTGTTGCTTTTTAAAGCTGTTTATTAATATAATGCCATGGTGTCAGTTAATGAGCGAGTCATTTGAGTAAAACCTACTTGGTTGTGAAACTGCATCCAAAAGCTGAATTGAAAGATTCTGAGGTTAATAAGTTCAGATAATTTTATTTCCTTAATTTCTGTTTCACTTCTGGTTTGGGGACAGAAGCAGAAGTGGTAAAGAGATATGAAAGTGTCTAGTTTTGGAAGAAAGTTTCATTTTTCAGGCCCAGGAAATTCAGATAAGCTTTAGAAACCATATTTCTGGAGTAAGCTCCCAATGTAAATAACAGAAGTGTTGCCTCTTGAACAAAGTCAGCTTGATTAAACAAAACATGTGAGACACAGGAAAACAACAGAAGAAGCAAAATAGCAACGTATCCGGGTTTTACATATGATATATTTGATGTTATTTTCAAATATATTACAGCAAATCTTTCTTCAAATAAAAGTTACAAATTAAATACAACATTTAAAATTTGTGACAAATTAAGGTTTTACTGTGAATATTTTCAGAAGTGGATTATTGAACAGGCTATCACAGTTAAAAAAAAACTAACTAAACCAAAAAAACCTCACTATTTTCCAGACTCAAGTGCAGATATTTTCATTTACCTCAAATCAGGCTGCATGTGTCCTACTGAAGTCATCCAACAATTTCAATGGTACAGTGAAGAGAGGTTTGATTTACAGATAGCAGGTCAGACAGTAGAAAGGATGCTTGGAAAGGTATTTTCTTTCTCCTCTAGCTGAAAGTGTAAGCCTCCAGCCTTCACATGAAGTTCTCCAGAGAGTTGCTGCAGCTTCTTGAGTCATACTAGACATCCAGTTTTAAACATATGTGGTAAAATTCTCTGTGCTGACCAATTGCAGGTATTCTAGGGTACCTGATCGGTAGCTAGCTACCCGTGAGAGCTCGTGCGCCTTGGATCCTTCATTTTCCCTTTTCTGAAGACTATTGGTTATCATCTCTGCTAAGTCATCTTGTAACCGCTGCTGATTCTCCCTGAAAGCAACAGGATGGAAAAAAAATTCAGTGAGTCACATTTTTAGTGATGGCCAGGTCCCCAGTGTTTTAAAATATTTCTATCCCACGTCTGTCTTAATGACATTCAACACTACTGATAAAAATAGTGGACAGGACCAAATTCAGCTTCTGAATTTGGGAATAGAAGTCAGGATTTCCTTGTGAGTTTTCCAGATAGTATAGATCAGTGTCTTTGCACAGGAGATCTGTACCTGTGTCATTATTGACCTTCCAAAAAAATCATGATCATTTGCATGAAAAGGAAGACACAAATTAGATTCAATCCCAATCAAAATAGGTTCTAGCTCTCAACAACATTACTGGCACCAGCACTTCCACTATTCAACTTCATGCAGCCTTTAGTAACAGAGTTGCCATCTTTTCAGAAATTTCTTCAGTATATCTGGCTTTTGCTGGAGTACCACACATATGACAATTTTTAAGGGGCAGTCCTATATGAGGAAGCGAAAACAAAAACATCACTGTGATCCAGCTCAAGAGGGACTTTCACTAGTTGAATTCCAGAACAATTGGCAATTCAGTAATTCTGATAGTCTCAACAGATCATATTAATTTTAAAAAAGGAGTTCTGAATTTATGAAAGAGATGTACCATAGAAGTAGTCTTGATAGTATTTCCTGCTCAGCTCAAACACT